AGGATTATCGTGACGACTCTGAATACTTTCACCAGTCTACTAATAATCAGTTGTAAGATTTCTTCTCATCTTCTAGCTATGAATTAGGAATAGATGATGTTGATGCGATATGGTTCGAGACAGCATATTAGTGTTCATTTTACATCCAATGAGAATAAATAATTGCCAAGTTTACGTCAGCAATGCTACAATATTCCCGTCTTAGTCTGCCAAGGTATGCTGTTTGTCTTGAAAATCAGTAGTGAGGTCGGCCTTGCCTCCGTCATATAATCACTACCGATCCATTCCCGAAGGTCAGTGACTGGCTTACATATATATACATATACGTACATATACCTGTTTCTGCGAATTTTTAATCGGCCTACATCACATCAGTAAGCTAATTAAACGCAATTTACGATTTATTGTTATAAACCGACAGCGCGTTATCTTAATTGAATGGGTGATTGCAGGATTGGCCAATTCGCGCGATAACCTTTGTCGATTATTATGCAATCTCGTTCATCAACCTTTTTCTTTCTGCTGTCTTGAAAATAATTGCCATCCGATCCCAGATAGCATCATGTCCAAAATTGGCATAAGACATATCATTACGAAATCTTTAAGATATCTTTAAGAAATCTTATAATATATGATAATCCAAAAATATTTTAAATATCTTATGCGCCAATTTTGAATATGGTGCTGTATCTGAAATCGTTCCTTAGTATTGGTCTAAATTATCGTTTCTCGTCTAAATTATTCAATTTTAGTCTAAATTCATCTGTCACTATATAGTTATACTTAAGGGGATCCTGACTAGGTCTGTTTTATCGACAAATATTTTTATTTAACTTTCTATTGGTTAGATAGAATGAAAAATTCTTTACTAAGATTAAAGTAATTCATAATAATAAATCTGAGCTATTATGTGTATATAAAAAAAAACCAACCCAAATAACATCATCTCTAAAATCGGGACATAAGACGTATTAAAGCGATATTTTATTGACGTCTTACAGACATACCCAGATAGCAAAATATATGCATTTTGTATTTATATTGTACTCATATTTTTCAAAACATGATGACAAAAATAGACACAGATGCAGGCTCATATGCTACTCAAAACACGAACATATTATATCTTAAAAATGTTTGCAAAAAATGTCATTATGAGTATACATGAATATGCTCAAATTAATACATTTTTCATCATATGTATGTAACTTGCGCTCATAATACCTATCATCATAATATGATTACAAGACATACAATACATTTCAATCATATCAGAAGATCATATGAAATCTGATCATCAGATATTTCTATCTGGGTATTTTAATATGACTAATTAAAGACATCTTGATGAGTTCTTTAAGACGTCTTATGTCCCGATTTTAGACGTTTTGTTATCTGCAAAAAAAGTTAAATATATATATATAACTACAGTGTTTTTTATCGTTTAGGTTAGGTTGACCCAATGCAAAAAATCTATAAAAAACTAATTATTTAGCTTTCTTATTTTTTTACTATACATATATGTATAGTAGCCCAGATTTGTTATGAATACTTTAATTCTATGTACAGTAAAGGATTTTTCATTCTGAGTATAGCCAATAAAAGATTTTTTAAGCAATGTTGAATTTATGCTGAAGGGACAATTTTAGTGATTTTATGGCGAAAAATTTGTTTAGAGTAGCATATATTTGCTTCTGGAATTATTTTGCTAATCTTCTTATAAATATTTACCGATCTTATTAAACTACAAAATCTCTTCTATTCTGATTCGACTTACGTGCGGTGATATATTTAAATTATATAGATAAAATTATAAAATTCTAATGTTTTACACATGTTTTTTTCTCAGAAAGAGATTTCTCATATCAACAATCGTAGGTTTTGCAAATACTAATGTGATATATATATATTTCCACTCGAATATTAATTATTTTTTTTATATGATGAAACCAGTTTTTCAGCCTTCAAAATCTTCGAATAAGACAGAAGATTAAAGAAAATGACTGGAATTCCAAGATCACTCAATCTGCGACACGGAAGGGAGAAATAATGACAGGAAAGCTAGATCACGATGACGGACTCACTTCGAGGTTTGTTCCGTGCGACTTTTAAAAGATATAATAATTTCAATGATGTTTTATTTATAAACCGCATATTTTTAATAGATTAACATCGATAAAGTTTTACTTGGAATTTTATAACACACACGTTATATTCACTTTGTTTCGCAACTAGTGAAATTTAATTTTACAATTTATAACGTGTTATAATAATGATGTGCCATGTGATATTATCCGTACGTAATGTCAATAATATACATTTATGTCAATAATAAACATTCTCTCATGTTTCATGTAAATTACAATCCAGCCGTCCTTGGTACGTAACACACTGCTTTCCCCATTCCTGAACTATACGTGGAAAATAGCATATATTTACTGTTCAATTACATTGCATTAAGTGACATACTAACAATAAAAAGTGACAATGTCATTTATTAAGATAAAAAACAATTTTAAATATGAAAAATATTGAAAAAATGCATAGTTAGGTATAATAAACTAGTTAATTAGTTAAAAGTTAAAAAAAGTTAATAACTTATTTTAACTTAGCTTAGTTAATTTAAAATATATTAATTTTTAATTTCAACTAGTTATTTTTGACCTTAAATTTATTAACTTTGTCCTAACTTAACTAACTTTTGTCCTAACTTAATTTGTTTTATCTCTGTATACCATTATTGTTTTTTTACAACTTATAAACGTATTATTTTTAAATTAAAGTATTATTAATTTTTATATTCTTTTGTCATCAATTGTATAATTACCGAAAAATATATTTCTATATAAAAATCAAAATTTCTTTGTTATTTGCTATTACAAATTTCAAAAGAATTAACAAACAAAATTCTAATTTAATATAAATAATGTTTTTAAAAATTAACTTTTGATTTAATTTTAGTTTATTTAATTTGCTTAACTTTACCTGAGTTAATTTTTTGTTCATGCAAGCTTTAACTTATATATATATATATATATATATATATATATATATATATAACTAAATTAATATTATAAGCAACTAACTTCAATTTAACTTAGTTTTAAAAAATCATTAACTTACTCAACTCTGAAAAAATGTAAAAAAAGGAAATAGATTATTGGAAGAAATATAATATATTTTATTCGATTCTCGCTTTTATAAAAGTAATAATATCGAAAAGTTGCAAAAAAATCATACACGGTATGATTTTGCCAATATATGATTATCTCAATATAAATAAAATGTAGGTATACATATAAATAAAATGTAGGCATACATATTGTAAAACACACACATATGTAAGTAAATAAAAAAAAACGTAATTTATTATAAAATATTCTCATCATCATGCATTAATTAAATTATGTTTATCTTCAGGTGTTCCCCTTCTTTTTATGCCCCTATTAACTTGTCCCCTTTCCCTTAGAAAGGATATATGTCTTCGCACGCGAAGCGTGACGACACAGCAATTGTGACGCAACTGTGACGTATGAGATTATCCAGAGTATATACATATAGAAAAAAATCTGTTCTTGTATATACAGAGTTATCTCAAGAAAATCTTTAATCATTATGTACAAATATATATTGATAACAATATAGTTGGATTTGTCTCGATAAGATCTACAATTTTTCTTAAACAAAAAAAATAAAGTTTTTATTAAAAAAAGTGATGATTATAGTGAATTTCAAAAGTAATGTCAGATAATTTTAAATAAATTAAAAGATAAAAATATATCTATATTATAAATTGCAATATAATATATATCTATCCCAGATAGCACAAGCCATTCGAAAAGAATTCATTTGTATGTCACCAATTTTGAGTCCCTTTTCAAATACATATAGAATTTATTTTATGAAATAGAATTCATTTTTATAAAATGAATTCTATGTGTTTGAAAAGGGACTCAAAATTGGTGACATACTGGTGACATACAAATAAATTCTTTTCGAATAGCTTGTGCTATCTGGGTATTACAAAAAATATGAACAATCAATACATTCCAATGTATACACCATATATGTATACCATATATATTCTATAATTCAGTAAAAAAACTCAAATAGCAAACTGACGCCATTAATAAACGTCAAATAACGCTTTTAAACGTCAAAGGCCCGTTTCTACCAACGTCGATTAAATTACACCTCCGGTTAAACTATATCTTTGTCTCTTTTTAAGAACTTATTTGAAAAGAGACAAATATATAATTTAATCGACGTTGGTAGAAACGGGCCAAAATGACGCCTTTAAACGTCAAAATGGCGTATGCTTGCAATTTGGAAAGATAATACAAAAATTAAATTGACCCACCCTGTATACATAACAAATTCTCAGATCTCTCTCTCTCTCTCTCTCTCTCTCTCTCTTTCTCTCCAAGTCTACTTTGTCTTTATAACCTTCCTACGTTGACCGGGAATCTTTATTATTTCGCCACTTCATCTTTTTCTTTCGCAAACCTAATCCTTTTATACATTTCTGATTTATGTTTGCGAGAAAACCGGAAAGAAGCAACAAAAATTCCCACTTTTTTCGTCTCTTTCATAAAAAATGTATCTCTGCCTAGTGACACTTTATTATCCCTCACATGTATAATATTTATATATTCCAATGGGAAATTTCCGTGTCGCTTTTTCTCTCGCAGACTTTCTTCGCTTCTTCCCGAAAGTAGAAGAACTTGTTCCATCTCCATATTCCGCACACACTTTGTACACTTTATCTACTATACGTTACCATGCGCCTACCTCACGCAATTATCTCCTCACGTGGCCGCGGTGCAATGATTCACTTGTCTTTTCTACCTTGGCAATATCCCGAAGCTAGACGTGAGACCACAGAGCAGCAGCTCGTCGGGACTCGCCAGCATTCTGTCATCTACCGTTCGCGGCGAGCGACATATAATAGTGAATATATACTATATATATATATATATATACCTGTGTATATATATATATATATATATATATATATATATATATATATATGCGGCAACGGGATGAATGTTATTTTATTACGGGGACTTTTTCGGGGAAATTCGCGTGGGAGAGAACTCATCACCTTGACGTCAGGTCCGATGAAGTAGTGACGTCCTGGCAGTCCTCATTGTTAGACAGTCCATCATCAGCGTCGACGTTCGCAATACACAGAGCCTTTCGGAATTTTAGTGTTGATCTCGCGCGCGTCCCAGTTTCCTGTTGAGACTTGTCGCAACACGAAGGCTGTGTTTCCAATTCTCTCGCAACCATTTCTCCTCATAACGTGACCGTTATGTACGAAACAGTAAGTGAATGATCAATCAAATGTGTAGCAAAGCATTGTTATGTGTAGCAATCTATCTTAGTGGATTGTGGAAAACGTCATCCCAAGTATCGAAAGAAAAAGTATGGGAAATATAGAGAGACCCAGTGTTTAACGATGATATAATTATCCACGATGAATGTGAGAGCCCTGACAGCTTCTTATACCCACTTATCTCTCTTTATTGCATTCGAGCGTGTTTTTTTCTTTTTTTTCTTTTCTTCGATTGTCATGTGTTTCGCGGCTCGCGAAGTGAAGCTGGGTAAGTGAAAGTTATCCTAAACAAATATTGTGGCGTCTCTATCGTAGCAATCGAGTTGAAAAAGAACTTGATACACCTGTGTAATTTAATAGCGACCTCAAAACGAGATAAAATAATCGCTTTATATTGCCATCACATATACAAGAGTATAACGATATATATAATTTCAAGGCATATTAACTTGAATATTTGCCGAGTGATGCGCGAAGAATTTTCACTCAAATATAAGGCGATAAAGTTGTCGTTCGATATCTTTCTTATCCTTATTTTTGTTTGTTTTGTTTTTCTTTTTTTTACTCACTAATTGTATCATCACGTTTAGAAATATCTCGCTATATAATTGCATCATTATCGCATATAGGAATTTGAAAAATTTATCTTTCTCATTGACCTTAATTATGACTAGTCTAATAGCTATTTAAATATGCTTTGAATATATTTATCCGATGATTATAATTATCCCTCGGGCGACTTCGAGGAAAGAAAAATTCTTGAAATATTTCTTAATACACTCATTTGTACTGCAATTGATATTTCTATCATACTTGTCGAAAAGTATTATTATTCTCATCTCACATTGAAACTATCTCCAGTCTTTATCTTCCATATGTATTTCTATTAATTAAAATAAATAAAAAAATTAAAATAACACTAATTTTACAGTCAAAAATTATTTTAAATCAGACAGTGTTTCTTATAGATAAAAAAATGTTTTTTGTAAATTGGTGTTTTTATTCTTATTTCACACGAGAGAAATGTTTCTATCTCTCTCGTTGTGCAAATATATTAATTAAAATAAATAAAAATAAATTCAAAAAAATTAAAATAAATTTACAAAATAAAATGAAGTAATTAGCATTAAAATAAATAAAATAATACAGTTAGATTTACATGGATGTGTGTCAATAATTTCCAATAAAAAATTGTTTGCATAAAATTGTAGAACAACGAAAAGCAACAGGGGATCGATAATGTCGCTTTCCAAATAGATGAGCCTCATATCGCGAAAAATGGCAGGAGAACTTATTATCCCGGGGACTCGACGAGCATCCAGAATGTGCAGGTCGGCGAGTCAAAGGAGGCTCGGGCGACATGGAACAATAGCGTGGAATTTCTTATGTCGTGTATCGCCATGTCAGTCGGTTTCGGCAATATCTGGCGATTCCCATTCACGGCTTACGAGAACGGTGGCGGCGCCTTTCTCATACCGTACGTGATTTTACTCTTTCTCGTGGGAAAGCCATTCTACTTTCTGGAGATGATCATCGGACAGTTTTCCGGCAATTCGTCCGTCAAAGTCTGGAGCATGTCACCAGGTTTTATTGGTAATTTCTCTATGATTTCTCCATTCCGAGCAAAACATGTGCAAAAGATAAAAAATATCAATAAAAATTATATGTATAATCTCTTCTCGAGCAAAGAAAAACTTCGGGCTGTACCGGGATTAAGATTTAATTTAATTTAATTTAATTTAATTTAAGATTTAATTAAATTTTTTTTTGTTTTTACATAAAATCGGTAGGTTCACGCTTTATTTCTACATGTACTTTAATCGTGGAAAAGCATTTATTATTCTATTTAACCAATAAAAAGAAAAGTGTTTTATCGATAAAATATTATTTTTGTGCACTATTTTCTTTTTATTAATTGAATACAATAAATGCTTTTCCACGATTAAAGTACATATAGAAACTAAATGCGAAAAGGGTGCGCAAAAATTGTTTTATCGATAAAACAGGACGGCGTTTTAGGATAAAAAATTGAGGTTTATTCTTAATTACAATCAACAGGAGTCGGATGGGCGCAGTTCTTCTCGACAATCGCTTTAGCAACTTACTATAGTTCATTGATGGCGTTGACATTTTATTATCTGATCGCTTCTTTTTCCGCTGAGTTACCTTGGGCCACTTGTCTGAAGGAATGGGGCGACACGTGTGTCGATTCAAGTACAAAAAGAAATCATAGTGCGGAAGGAGTAAATGTCAACATCCTTGATAATTTCTTAAATGGCAGCAATAAACTTCAAAGCTCAGCCGAATTATATTTTAGGTAAGTGTTTTCTTTTTATTTAAAAAATAATGGGATATCTATAAGATATTTTACATATATGTCCCACATATCGCAATCTCTTAAGTTTAACGATAAGCTAACGAGAAGCCGTATCCCAGCAAACACCGATATATGATTGTTACATTGCTATAATAAAACGGAATATAACATGTAATATAACGTGTACGTTACATGTAATATCCATGTTAGTTGTAATTTCCCACTCATAGATGTAACATTTTAATATAACATATATTACATTGTAGTTATATTGTAATTATATACCAAATAGCACATTGATGTATTGATAAGTCAGTGCTATCTTGTGATATAATGACAATATAACTACAATGTAATATATGTAATATTAAAAATGTTACATCTATGAGTGGGAAATTACAACTAACATATACGTTAGATGTAACATGCTTAAATATATAACATTTATATACTGTGTTTGCTGGGATATAACACTTAATACAAAAATGTTTGATAATTTAAATTTTTTTAATATCTTTACTTACATAAATGATAATATTATATTGTAATTAAAATTCTTCAGTGAGTGAGGAAAGAAAAATTGTAAAATTTTTAACTATATAGTTTCAAGAAATATACTTTAAAAAATATTTTTTGCAAAACGAGACTGTATCAGATATTCAAACATACTATATATACTATATAGTATATAGACACAAAATATTGGAACTAATACTATATACAATATTGAAACAATAATATATATAAATTTAACGTATAAGACGGGCAACAAGAGCCAAATCGCGGATGACAATGCGTTATCCTAACGAAACTAAATAATTTTTCGTTAGAATTAAATACCGGTGCACAAGGCACCAAATTTTTACTTGGACACGGCCAAGATTTTAAATATGAAATAATCTCATATTTTGAGATATCTCGGGTTCGATTCCCGATTCAGCGATTTTCGGATCTATATTTTTCTCTTGCATTCATTTATTTATTTTCCGTAGGGGGGTTAAAGGGGTATTGAAATTAAATCTCAAAATATGAGATTATTTCATATTTAAAATCTTGGCCGTGTCCAAGTAAAAATTTGGTGCCTTGTGCACCGGTATTTAATTCTAACGAAAAATTATTTAGTTTCGTTAGGATAACGCATTGTCATCCGCGATTTGGCTCTTGTTGCCCGTCTTATACGTTAAATTTATATTTATATTACAGAGCCTTGTTAAAACTCTTATAAATAATATATATGGTCTTGATTAAACTGAGACTTTATTATACTTACAGAAACAGATATAAGATGAAACATGAAGTAATTGTAAAATAAACAAAGCAATCTTCTTCGGTTAGGTTAGGTATTGATCAATCGATAAGTAGCAAACAGACGCCATTCTGACGTTTAATAACGACTGATTTTGATGTTTAATAACGTTAGTTTGCTGTTTGGGAATTTGATTAATCTATTTTATTACTTTTAGTGTGAAATCTAATTCATGTGCACAATTATTGTAATCAAGCTGAAACGATTTACAGACAAGTAGTTTTACATGAGAAAGAGAGTATCGACGACGGGGTCGGATGGCCGAATTGGAAGCTGACACTCTGCCTTCTTATCAGCTGGGTGGCAGTTTGTTCGGTGATCTTTAAAGGTGTCAGAAGCTCCGGGAGATTTTCCTATTTCCTCGCCATTTTTCCGTACATTGTGCTAATCTTGCTGCTGATTCGCGCGGTCACTTTGGATGGAGCCATGACGGGAATCCTCTACTTCATCACCCCAAAGTGGTCGAAACTCTTGGAACCGACTGTTTGGTACGCCGCGGTGACGCAATGCTTCTTCTCGCTTTCCGTGTGCTTCGGCAGCATCATTACGTATTCCTCGCACAACGGGTTCAAGCACAACATTTATAGGTGAGAAGAAAAAATACAATTGTTATAACAAATTTCAATAATAAAAAGGTTTTCAAAAAATATGCACAAATATTTTTCTCGACGTACTAATCCCAGCAAACACAGTATAAATGTTATATACTCAAGCATGTTACATGTAACGTATATGTTAGTTGTAATTTCAAAGTGCTATTTGGTATATAATTACAATATAACTACAATGTAATATACATATGTTATATTAAAATGTTACATCTATGAGTGAGAAATTACAACTAACATGGATGTTACATGTAATGTACACGTTATATTACCTGTTATATTCCGTTTTATTATAGCAATGTAACAATTATATATCAGTGTTTGCTGGGATATAATGGAAGAAGAGGAAGGTGCAAAGAAAGAGAGCATAGAAATAAGCAAAGTCAATTTTTTTTATACAATTTTAATACATATATTAAATATGAATAACTTTTAATAAATTTTGTTTTTAACATAAAATCGGTAGGTTCGCGCTTTGTTTTTATATGCATTTTAATTATGGAAAAGCATTTGTTATTCTATTCCTTTCTTTAAAAAAATTAAGTCGATTCTCGAATGTATCGGTTTATCTCGAAAATCTCGAAGTATTATTGCCTCTTTTCCGCAATGCCGATTGGTTTTGTCACAGCGTTTACTTCGTGAGCGACTGTCATTGCATATTTTGACAGTTGTATGTATCGAGGGGTTAGTGCAGTGATAGTAATATATATTAAAGGATTTGGTGTATATAATAGTTAAAATCTAATAAATAATTGTTTATTAATTTTGTGATTGAGTGGTTTCAACTTCAGTTTCTTGTCAGTTAGAAAGGGAAATAGAAATTCGGTGAATTAAAATTATGTATATATAGAAATCTAGTTAATTTATACATAATAAAAATGCAACGAATTAAAATTATTTACACAATAGAAATTCGGCGAATTAAAATTATGTACAATCGCGGAGAAAAAGTTTGTTTAGCACGCGCTTATATTATCTAGTCAACTAATAAAAAGAAAAGGATGCAGTAAAATGATCGTTTTATCGATAAAATTTAACAAAATTTTTTTTTGTTTTTAACATAAAATCGATAGGTTCGCGCTTTGTTTTCATATGTATTTTAATCATGGAAAAGCATTTATTATTCTGTAAAAAGAAAAAAGTGTAGAAAAATGATCGTTTTATCGGAAACAAAAAAATTTTGTTTGTTTTTAACATAAAATCGGTAGGTTGGCGCTTTGTTTTCATATGTATTTTAATTATGGAAAAAGATTTATGATTTTATTTAACTAATAAAAAGAAAAGGTTGCGGAAAAATATTTTATTAATAGAACAAGATGACGTTTAAGATCTCCTTAATAGGAGATTTTTTAGGTTATTTGAAAACGATTTTTCCACATTGTCAGCAAAAATATTGAGGCACCAATAATTTCCAAGTTATGAGTAATTGAAAATAATAATTGAAAATTTTTCGCAAAAAGTATGTATAAGCCTTGTGGAAATAAAATATTAACAAAATAACATTTCTCCATTAATTTCAAGTAGAATTTATTTTAATAGGGTTTTAATTTAAGGCTTAGACAATATATGTGATACACGATGGCAAAAATGGGGAACATACAAAAAATGATAGCTTCCCTTAATATTTTCGCTGAAAAAAAATTGTCTCCAAATAATCCGCTAATTCCAGAACACCCTTTATATACAGTATATATTCTTTTAAAATAAGATTCTAAAAAATTTGTTAATAAGAATTTTTTCACTTAATCACAATTTTATTATATCTGTTTTTTTATTTTGCTTCAATAATATCCTCTTTCTCCTCCCCTTTTCATTGATTTGTATTAATTTAGAGATGTGATAATAATTACTTCTCTGGATACGATTACGAGTTTGTTGGCTGGCTGTACAATATTCGGGATTCTCGGCAATCTGGCGTACGAGTTAGGGGTGGAAGACATATCCCAAGTAGTCAGAGGTGGAGCTGGCCTGGCATTCATATCTTATCCGGACGCAATAGCAAAGTTTAGTTTTCTACCGCAGGTATGTCATTTATATATATAGGTTGTTCTATTTTAACTTATAATAGATACTCAAATATCTCGAAATATATGAAAGATATGGAAAAACGTTTCAAACAAAAGTTGTTTGGTTCGAAGGGGGATATAAGGTGGTGTCATTGATTTAACCATGAATAGTCATTTGAAGGTCACGTGAAGGTCACTTTCAATTTTTTTATCATGAACCCTTATTTTTTATTACATATTCTTGTAGCTTATCTCAAAAGTTTTCCAAAACACTATAATGAAGTATTTTTCTCTTAAGTATTTTCTGAGTTATTAATTTTTTGACATAAAATGTAAAATATCTAGTAAATATTCGGTTTTCGGTAAGTATTCCTTAATATATTTATGCACGGAATAATGAGACAATCAATTGGTACAAACAAACACATAGTTGCTTTTAAGAAAAAGTGCAATCGCGTAACTTTGGGATTATTTTTTTCTTATGTTGTATTTCATTATTTATATTATTAATTTTTATACGAGAGTACTTAAAAAAAAATATTTTTTCTGAAAAATAAAATAATGAATTTCGTTGCAGCTATTCGCCATACTGTTTTTCGTAATGATGTTTGTCCTTGGTGTCGGTAGTGCTGTGGGAATGATTACGGGAATCATTACAGTAGTAAACGAACAGTTTCCAAAACTGAAGACTTGGCAAATTGTTGTTCCAACTTGTACTCTAGGATTTTTAATTGGAACAGTTTATGTAACACCAGTCAGTATAAAATTATACTAATCAATGAAAGAGAATTTGTTTTTGAAAATTCTCTTATAACAATCGATTGATTAATTAATTAAATAATATTTAAATATTGTAGGGCGGTCAGTTTATCTTAACTTTAGTAGATTATTACGGTACTTCGTTTGTCGTTTTCATCTTGGCGTCCTTCGAAATGACTGGAGTGGTATGGGTATATGGTAAAAAATTTTTAAATTAATTAATTATATAATAATTAATTTTTATTTAGATTTTAACGCACTAATTAATTATTTAAATATTTATGGAATAACGGAAAGTTGATGATATTTTTTCGGCAGGATTTGAAAACTTCCTGGAGGATGTAGAATTTATGTTGGATCGAGAACTGAGCGTTTACTGGAGGATATGTTGGCTTATAATTACGCCATTGCTATTAATAACGATTTTTATTTACACGGTAGTCACATTGTCGCCTCTAACCTACAGCGGAAGATCATTTCCGGCATCTGCGCACGCCGCCGGATGGACGATACTTTGCATAGGTATTCTCCAGATTCCGCTGTGGATGCTGATCGCGATGCTGAGGAATCGAAATTTACCCCTCTCACAAGTGAGTACTCGATTTATGCGGAAGCAGAAAGTTTGCAATTTAGAGATTTTATAATTCAAAGCGCATTAAACAATTTATTTTATTTTAATTAATTTAATAAATATATACATTATGAGCAATTTTAATTATTTGAGGAGAATTATGGGTGCCCATAAGATTTTTTCCAGAAGAAGGCATAATTAATTTTTCATTTTTAATTTTTATTTTTCTTAATTTTTTAAAATTTATTTTTTTGTTATTTTATTTTTATTTTTAATATTAAATATGCAAATAAATTTTAATGTTTATTTTTAAAAGAAGAGCAAATGCTTAATTTTTTTTACTGATGCGCGGAGATAGGTCCATAAGGAGAATATTTTTTTAGGAAAACTGTTTAGAGAGAGAGAGAGATTAAAAAACTTTTATATAAAAAAGTGTAGAAATAAAAGATAATTTTTAAGAATATTAATTTATTATTCTACAAATGCTTGAAGAATTATGCGAAGGATTTTCGAAAAAAATCACTACATTACAAGAAATTAAAAATTGTTAGAAACAATTAAATTCGCTTTGCTACACTTTGTTTAAGATGTTGAAGAGAGCCTTTGCACCTGCAAATGGATGGGGTCCACGAGAAGTGCAGCAGTGCAAAGATTGGAAGATCTATAAAGAGGAGAGAGCGAGAGCTCGGGAGAAGCGAATTCAGCCAATCTGGAAACAAATAGCTTGCATTCTCTTTAACATGGAACCAAAATAATGTGCAATTTTATATGCTATACTTTAGAATTGCTTGCATTTTGATAGTTTTACCATTTTTCTGCCGCGGCAGGCTCCATGGCAGGAAAAATTGACGAATGTATCTAAAAAAATTAGACCTGTACCTGTATATGTGAAAACTGCGTAGAAACTACTTTATATCTATTCGTTATGTGACTTCAATCAAATTTATACAATGATTTTATTTTATATATATATTATATTATATATAAACTATATATATATTAACTATATATATATATTATAATTTTACATTTAAATTGTATAATCTTTAAATTAAAGAAATATCACTTTATACATATAATATATATATAGTTTATATATAATATAATACGTATTTTGAATAGAATTACTATTGCGTTCAGTAATAGTGCAATAATTTACTAGCAAATGTGGAGGAAAGTTTGACAAACTTTTTTTATTTGAATGAAAGATATATATAATTCGTAATTTAAAATTAAGGAAAGTGTAAGTAGACAATCAGACTGGCTACGAATCAGATGTTTATTGTTGACACATAATGTTTCGATTGACGATTTTGATAAATACATATAAATAAATAAAATATGACAATGAAGGATAAAAATTGGTAATGATAAATAAAGTACCGACGAATGACTTAAATATATTGCACCTATTTAAGTTATTCATCGGTATTTTATTTATCATTACCATTATCCTTCATTTTGTCATATTTTATTTTATTTATATGTATTAATTACAGACACTTGATAAGGACCAAAACCGTCGGTCGAAACGTGTCAACAATAAACATTTGATTCGTAGCCAGTCTGGTCGTCTACTTACACTTTCCTTGATTTTTTATTTGATTTTTTCTTGATATCATGTTTAATTTTTTATTCCAGGATTAACGAGAAACTCTCTAATCCTATTTTTATTTCTTTTTAATTTTGTATATATTTAAAAAAAGTTTTAATTTAAAACATTTTATCAAAATATATTTTTAATATTTTTTATATATATTAAAAAAATTATTTTCTTTATTATTGATATAATTGCCTTCCTGTTTAACTATTTCGTTTGAAAATAAACATTTTTAATTTAAGACGTCATTAAATCATTAAATCAGCAAAATTGATTTTTTTTTTATTTGGAAGGAAGAATTTGTAACAAATCTCTCTCCTCCCTCTCGCAGGATCGCTATTAGTGCAGTTAAACAACTAATATGTCAATGATTTCATTAAGCCTTTTCGTATAAAATTTAATGTATTATTTAATTATATTTAACTATTATAATTAATGCTTGTAACACTATGGTATAACTATTATAATTAATGCTTGTTACACTATGTATAACGCAATTCGCGATAAAGAGCTGCGATATTATTTTGAAATTGTTTTACTCGATCACTATATACAGTTATTATGATTTATAGTGTAATATAACACTCTGATTATCTGTTTAATACTGCTTTAATATTGTTTTATAATTGCAATTGTCAATTATTGCCAAATAGTCTTGCTATAACTTTCGATTTTATCGCGCACATTCGTGATATCTCTTTCGATTGTTTGAAGTCTTTCCATTCATTGTATTTCTTTGGATCTTTTGGACCCCAATCGACGTTCGGCTTAATTATCTGAAATTGAATAAGCAATTATTTCAGATTTACGAAAGGCAAACATTTATGTTACAACGATATTTAAATAAAATGTATATAAGTAGTAATTACATTCAGCCATGTCTTATCTTTATTTTGAATTCCGACATAAATCATTCGTAAAGGCAACGGGAGAATCCCTAAAGCCAAAAGCGTCCAACCCGCAGCTGTAAAAATATTGTGAATAAATATTTAAATATTAATTATTTATTTTTATTTATATACGACCAAATATTAATATTAGATATTTAATATTATATATATATATATATATGTTATAGTCAAAACCTGATGTGCGGTCGTTCCTAGATTGGTCAATCCTGCGGAACAACCAAGCGTGTTGGTCAAAGCCCGAAATACTTTTGTGTTTCGCCTTTTGACTAGTATTTAGTCAATTCTAGGAATAACTTAAAAGTAAAGTAAATTACAAGCTATATTACATATGTCAACAATAAAAACATTAGTAAAAAATCTTGGTTATATTTTTTAACAGTCAAAGTCCGAATTAAGCTACATTTAAGATTAACTGGTCAAAGTCCGAAATGATTTTTTTAGTTTCTAACTTTAACCAGCCATATTAGTTATTCCTAGAATTGACTAAAAATGTACTAGTCGAAAGCCGAAACACAAAATTATTTCGGACTTTGACTAACACGCTTGGTTGTTCCGCAGGATTGACCAGTCAATCTTAGGAACGCCCGCTCATCGGGCTTTGACTACAACATATATATATTTAAGTTATATTTATAATTATGTATTTAATATAATTTATTTTTTACAAAAAGAGAAATATCATCTCTTAATGTTCATAATTTAAATCTACATCTTTTACATCTACAGGATGTTCCATAGGAAACTGCTGAAACTAATCAGCTGTCATTTTTTAATATGTATGTATGTACACCGACCGGCAGGAATGGTGTCCGACGTCAGATTTCAGATGTGTGTATACGTGTATAACAGCCGAAAATCATATGCACACATACGTAGCGCGACATTGTATGTGTCGCTTGAAGCGCGGTGGAGATCAAGAAGCGAAGAAGAAAGTAGGGGGTACTCCGATATTGCATCTCTCTCAAACATCGTATGATCGAGAGAGAAAGCAATACAAGACGTGGTGTCATTTAGTGGTGTTCAATAGCTGTCTCACTCACTCGACTATGAATTGAAGGAGTGCGAGTGAGATAGCTATACGGACATACGGACACCGCGGGTCGCGCTTGTCTATCGGTGTCTCGTTCCCTCCGTCGTACATTTCTGACGTCGGACACCATTCCTGCCGGTCAGTGTACATGCGCAGTTATTGAGAAAAAAATTATATTGAAAAAAGGAAAATCTGCAGTTTTTAATGGATATAAATAAAATGTTGGTATACTAGTTTATTTGATTAAAAAGTGATGAAAAAAGTGCTAATAAAATCACATATGTAAACTAATGGTAAATATTTTCGAAGTGTGCACCATTTAAATTTGTACAAAATTTTGTTCTTTTACGAAAACTCGTAAAAATTATTTTCTAACATGTCATTTTTAATGTTATTCTGATATAATGACGATCCTTTTAATAGCTGCTATTAAATGTAGCACTGTTGAAAATATTTATCATTAGTTTATGTGATCATTATTAGCACTTTTTTTCATTACTTTTTATAAATTACTTTTAATAAAATAAATCTGTATACAAATATTTTACATATTTATATTCATTAAAAACTGCAGACTTTCCTCTTTCCAACACATTTTTTGTTTTCTCAATAACTGCATTCATGCATTAAAAATGACAACTGATTAGTTTCAGCAATTTTCTATAGGACACCCTGTATAATAATATATGTATATAAAATTATAACATTAATTTTTCTCTATTTTTAATCTAAATTTATTCTAATTATATATAATAATATAATAATAATTAAAATTCTTTACTTCAATTATAATATGTTAGAAAATTTATACAAACAACACGTAGATGTATACCGTATGCAGATGTTGGATAATATTCATCATTGTACGTAATCGGTGTTAAATTGATCAGGAAATAAATCAAAATAATGAATAGAAATAGAGGAGTTAAGTAACACCAACAGAATTTCCAATAAAAGAATGGCCGTCGTCCCATCATAAATTCGATGTCGTCCAAAAAATTGTCGACTCCTGAATCAAATTACTTATTCAATGACTTCATGAAGCAGCTTCACAAAAGAATAAAATATATTATAGATTACCGTATACCCAGGAAATAGCAATTACTTCAAAGGAAGCTAAAAATACGATAATGAAAGTGCCGCCAAAGTAGTCTACCAGATTAAGAATGTATTGACCACCCTGAAAAATAATTTCGATAAAAATTTACAGTTTAATCAAATATATAAATATTATTATTTATTAAATGACATTATCATAAATAATTATTATTTGTTTTAATAACACTAGTTTATAGCTAAAAATTATTTTAAACCAGATAAAGTGTTTCTTATAGATTTTTGGGTACTGAAAATCAAATTTCGCTAGCACGTCAAATATCTAAAATAATTGAGGTTTGATATGTGAAGAAAAGTAACTTTTTTGCAATATTTAAAATTTTTTGTAAAAAAATTAACGTTATCTGAAAAGTCTGATCAAATATCACAAAAGTATTGTCCATCTCTAATAAAATGCATTTTTTATTTCACATCTTATTTTTTAGCCATGTGTTATGAAAGATTAAAACTGGAACTATTTCTCATGTAGAGATAATCCTGGGGAACAAAAGTTTTGAAAAAGAATTATTTTTACACTATGTTTGATTTAAAATAATAAAGGAAAATATTTTTTTCTGAACTAGGAAGACTCGATTTCGAAAATGTTTGAAAAAACACAAAAATAAATCATTATTCAATATTGCTTGCTTATCAAACTCTCTTACTTCGATAATTTTTATTTTATTAATTTTTTATGGATTTTATTAGAAGAATTGATTTTCACAAAGATTCTGTTTTATTTTGAAAAAAGAAAAACATTTCTTTTCTTAAAAAAAAAACTTACGGGCGTGCAATAAACAATGCCAATTAGGAAACCAGAGATCGCAACACCAGCAGCAATCTTCCATTGTTTAAGCTGCGGGAATTGATCCTTGATAACGCTGACGACAACGTTACAGAAGGCAACAGTGGTGCCTATACCTAAGACGAAGAGCATCAGAAAGAAGAGCACGGCGAAAAACTGTGGCACCACGGTGAATTTCGCCAGAGCTTCTGGATAAGAGATGAAAGCTAGACCTGTTCCGGCGCGAACGACGCTGCTAATGTCATCGGTACCCATTTCATGAGCGAGATTACCCAGAATTCCAAAGATAGTCGTGGCTGCCATCAAACTGGTACAAAGATCCAGAGTCGTCACAATCGTACAATCTCTGTAAAAGATCTTCTACTAATTCTCTGATCGTATTTTAATCGTGGAAAAGTGCGCATTTATTATTCTATTCAATCTTTAAAAAGGATGTGGAAAAATGATCGTTTTATCGATAAAATTTAACAAAAATTTTTTTTGTTTTTAACATAAAATTGATAGGTTTGCGGCCTTTATTTTTATATATCATTTAATCATGGAAAAGCATTTATTATATTCTATTCAACCAATAAAAAAGAAAAGATGTAGAAAAATTATTGTTTTATCGATACTTAGATAGCACCATGTTCAAAATTGATGCATAAGATATCATTAAGAAATTTTTAAGACATCTTTAAGAAATCTTATGACATAATATCTCAAAAACATCTTAAAAACATCTTAAAGATGTCTTATGCACTAATTTTGGACATGGTGTTGTTTGGGTAAAACAGGATGGCGTTTAAAACGATTAGATCTGTTTTATCGACAAATATTATTTTTATTTAATTATTTATTGGCTAAAATAAAAATCCTTTATTAAAATTAAAAAGTATTTGTAATAACAAATCTCTGGGCTATTATATATGTATATAAAAAGAAACCAAGAAAATTAAATAATTACGATTTTCTTATTGTTTAGGTTAGGTTGATTTAATGGAAAAAATCGATAGAAAAACTGTAATTATTTAGCTTTCTTGTTTTTTTATATACATATATTGTAGCCCAGATTTGTTATTATAAATATTTTAATCTTTAATTATAGTAAAGAATTTTTCATTTTGTATAGTCAAGATAGAGCTTTAAATAAAAATAACATTTGTTGATAAAACAGACCTAGTGTCCTTAAACTGTAAAGCTTCTTAAGGGGATCCTTCAGCAACCCTGCCGAAAATGATCGATTAAAACCGATTAAAACGTAATCCGTTTACTCGCCCGAAATTCATTTATCGTAATAGTTCAAAAGATTTGTTCTTTTAAGGCCCTTGAATACTCGATTGATTATCCATTATTTTATTAGAAAACATCTTTATTTTCATATAAAAGCTCATTCTATAATACATGGAGTAAAAAGTAAGAAATACGAAATGGGATTCGCCTATTTCCTTACTCCTGATTTTTGATTTGTTGAAATCTTACTCTTACTCCTTACTCCATGTATTGTAGAATGAGCTTAAGACGCAAGAATCTTTTTAGTTGTTTTCTCGCTTCTGATGTCATCAATTCAAGATGACTAGAGTGAATATTCAAGAGCCTTAAATATTAGTTTTTGTTTATGTTTAAACAATTTTGTGTTTATTTTTATTTTAGTTGTGTTTATTTCATTTCCAATTTTAATACAAATTGTTTGTATTACTTGAAAGTTTGATATCATTTAGTTATATGAACTGTTATTCATTTATCATAAGTTTACTTACGTTTTGTTATAATATCAGTTTATTTTAAAATTAGTTTGAAAGAAAACTCAACCAAGCAATAATATTGTTTAAAATATATTACATGACAGTATTCTTGTAGAATATGTGATAATTAAATATGTGATTTAATTAAAATAAAGTTTACACGAAATATAAGCAAGACATTTGACATTATTTTAATTGTGTATCGCGATGTAATCCGCAAAATCGTGGAATTTCGAATAGCAACGGATTATTTTTGTCGGATTATTCCGACAGATTCACATTGCATTAAAACCGATTTGATGCAATTGTATAATATCGGATTGAGATGGATGTATATAATCCCATTAATCCGCCATAGAGAGAGAGAGAGAGAGAGAGACCAGTGCAATTAGGTGTTAAAGAGACCAAAAACGGAAAAAATTAATAACAGGACGGCTCTTGGTGGAATTGGTAGATAATTTTGCACGGATTACGGGGAAAAAAAATGCAATTTGATCAGATGTATTTTAGGGTGTTTTGGTGTGACTTTTAGGGGTGGCAAGCGGTTTTTTGTGATTTCCGCCAAAAGTTGACCTCGGATCAAAAAATGCTCTAAGAAAAAGTTGTAGATATTAAAACGATCTAAAACTTTTGTATACATCATTTTTCACATAACCTCAAAATTTTCGAGAAAAATTTAAAAAACTGTGTTTTTCGTAATTATTTTTTTTCTCGGACAAAAAAAAATTTTTTTTTACCCTTTGTTTTTTAAATTTGGTGGACATTTTTTTTTTAATTTGGTGGAAACTTACCTTTTTATGTCCCAAATAAGCTGTAATTTTTTGGAATAAAAATATTTATGTTTCAAAGTTTTGTTGACGTAAAACCGAAAAATTACCCCTAACTTCAATCGAAAAATCTCGTGTTAAAATTTTAGATTTTTCAGGGAGGGATTTTATTTGTTGAAATGTCTATTTTTAGATGGTTCAAAAAAATGAGACCTCACTTTGCACAAAATTGCCAATAATTGCGAAAAACTGAAAAAACGTGTTTTCAAAAAGTAATATTTTCAGTTATTGCTTATTGTTACCGAGCATACTATCAACTTCAGACTTGGCTCGGTAACACACTAACCGCAACGGATTGGGGCTAGCAAAAATTTCAGGATGGAATTATGCCGATATTCATAGAACAAGAATTGATTCCGGAAATATTACTGAAAACTATTTGCTGCAACTGTGAAACCGGATGTAACAGCAAAAATGTGGATGTCGCAAACATGGATTGAAATGCACAAATTTGTGTTTAAACTGCCACGCTTCCGAGAAATGCTGCAATATGGAACAACAAAATATTCAGGAAATAAGCGACTCAAAAGAAGCTATCGACGATGAACCAGTTCTTACAAACATCTTTCTTACGGACCAGTTCTTAGAAACATCGTTCTTACGGAGCATCGAAATTGAAGAAGACAATAACATCAATGAAGGTCCAACCGAATCCGCAAGTTTTATACAATCTGACGACGAAGAACTGCCAGCGAAAAAGAGAAAATTTGTGTGACACCTGATAAATTTAATTATAATTATTATTAGCGTCGGTTAATGAAAACGATTTATTTATAATTTCCATGGGCATTTCCTGAAATTTCTTTTTTGTGTTGAAATAATATTTTAAAATCAATGTTATTAATATCTCTACATCCAACAATGTCAATAAATTTACATTTTTATAATGAAGATATTGCAGTAATCATTTTTTCTGACTGAAACCAGTCAAAACCTAATTTTTTTCACATCTCTTTCTTCAACAATTTGCAATTACTTTATTTATCAATGCAACATTAAATGATACCATTTTTATACATTCCAACTAAAAATTTTAATAAATAATATCACATTTCAAGCAATAACTGAAAATATTACTTTTTGAAAACACGTTTTTCAGTTTTTTGCAATTTCTGACAATTTTGTGCAAAGTGAGGTCTCATTTTTTTGAACCATCTGAAAATAGACATTTCAACGAATAAAATCCCTCCCTGAAAAAATCTAAAATTTTAACACGAGATTTTTCGATTGAAGTTAGGGGTAATTTTTCGGTTTTACGTCAACAAAACTTTGAAACATAAATATTTTTATTCCAAAAATTACAGCTTATTTGGGACATGAAAAGGTAAGTTTCCACCAAATTTAAAAAAAAAATGTCCACCAAATTTAAAAAACAAAGGGTGAAAAAAAATTTTTTTGTCCGAGAAAAAAAATAATTACGAAAAACACAGTTTTTTAAATTTTTCTCGAAAATTTTGAGGTTATGTAAAAAATAATGTATACAAAAGTTTTAGATCGTTTTAATATCTACAACTTTTTCTTAGAACATTTTTTGATCCGAGGTCAACTTTTGGCGGAAATCACAAAAAACCGCTTGCCACCCCTAAAAGTCACCCCAGAACACCCTAAAATACATCTGATCGAATTGCATTTTTTTTCCCGTAATCCGTGCAAAATTATCTACCAATTCCACCAAGAGCCGTCCTGTTATTAATTTTTCGTCAAACAATATTAATGGCACTGGTCTATCAGAATATATGATATTATTTTCAATCGGTTTTAATACTGTATTTTCGGTGCAGAAATCCCGATCGATTCAGATTACTTCTTATTTTAATCGGTTTTAATCGACCATTTTCGACAGGAAACTCCGACAAAATAGCAACATACCCAAAATAGCAACATATCCAAAACATATGCATGTATACACAACGCACGCACACATACGTACGAAATCGTACTTCTAATTACACATTTTTATTAGATTTCTAATCCAGATTTAGAGGTTAGCAGTGCATATGTTTTATATAAAGCATATATTATGATGAGGTTGACAGTTCGTCTGCAATTCAAGATGTCATATCGAGATGAAAATATAGCAGGTAAGAAAAACTGTTATTTCTCATTTTTCATATAACTTCGAGATTTCCTGGTATTATTGATGTATTATTTATTGCAATTGTAGAGAAGCATTTTATGTTCTGACAAATTAATGCAGAGAAATTCTAGAAGTACGAAAATATACGACTGTGTCGATAAAACAGATAATCGTGAAGGATCCCCTTAAATTGTTGGGGATTAAATTATTCTCTAGATTTTGTTTCAAAATTCTTAGGTTAACTATATAGTGCCCAGTGTATATTAAAGAAAAATGCGACTGACATAAAAATGTGTCCGACAATGAAAGTAATACACACCTGGACGTATTGTGTTCGAAACTGTTATAGGAGGAGTACATGGTCACCGCGCCGAAGCACACGCCAAGAGAGAAAAAGGATTGGGTGACGGCGGCATACCAAACCGCTGGTTCTAGAATCTTGTGCCACACGGGGTTGAAGAGAAAGATAATGCCGTCCACCGCTCCGTCCAGCGTCACCGCTCTAACCAAAAGACTGATCATGATGACGTACGGGAAAAGGGCCAGAAAGTAAGCCGCTTTACCGGTACTTTTCACACCCTTGCAGATCACGACGTAGACGAATATCCAACTGATCAGCAACGCCAGGACCAACTTCCACGAAGGTGACCCGAGTCCATTCTCGAGTCCTGTTTCATTAAGGACGACTTTTCTAAACATATGTACATAGATGATTTTCAGACAGCACCATGTCTAAAATTGGCGCATAAGACATCTTTATGAATATATCATATCTTATGATATGATATCCAAAAGACATCTTAAAGATATCTCATGCTCCAATTTTGGATATGGTGCTGTCTGGGCTGGATAATGTTTATTCCATTTTGGAAAATAAATTTCTCCTAAGGAATAATGAAAATTCTTCAAGAATAAAAAAAGAAGAGAAAATAAGACTAAAAGATAAAAGAAAATTTTAAAAATAAAAATTCGACAATAAAGATAACGATAAAGATAGTGTGCATAATATATGCGGTTGAGAGATAATATATATCAATGATGCAATTTAATGATGCATTATACATATGTATATATGTATGTCATTACGTCGTTTTACAATTGTAAGAGATATGACGGAATTCTTATTCTAAATCTGATCGGATAATAAATTTCCGAGAATAACTCGAAAATGTACGAATGAGTCTTAATAATTTATGTATTTGATACGCATACATACCAATGTAATAATAGCGTCAGGTAATAAATAGAGACGTAAAAAATAAAAACGTTGTATATATCTCGCATTGTACGAGGATTAATGTACCTAAAATACAAATCAGCGGAACTTCTAGTTCCGTTTTTCACATGTTCGATAACGGTTGATGAGCTATTGAAGCACGCGTCATCCCATTCTTCCCAACAATAGGCCCACGGAAGTTCGGACTGGCAACTGGCCACCATGTAGTAGAGCGTCAAAGCCATAAGGCCGCAGTAATAAGTAATTACGGAGAATACCGATATTACTACGCCATAGCCAATACCTGGTAAATAAATATTAAACTCCATTCTCATATAGATTTAATAAGGGAATATTTTTAGGTGTAAATAATCGATTTTAGGGCCAATTTCATCAATTTCGGTTAACTCTAATCTCTGGTTAAACTATATACTATATACATACACATACATATACATATTTTTGTGTCTTTTTAAAGAACGTATCTGAAAAGAGACAAAGATATATAATTCATATCAAGAGACACGGTAGTGTCTCGCGACCAGTTAAGGGCGTAGCGGAGACACCGTGTATCTTAACGCGAGTCGGACATTTGAGTCTTTATAATATTTCGAATCCTCAATAATGGCTGAAGCAATCGAGTTTATACTAGACTTAATCGATAGATTGAGTTCGAATTATATAATAAAAGTGTCTTTATTTCTGCTCTACGTGATTTGTAAGCAGAGATATATAAATGCAAAGTCGAAATATGAAAAATTTCTATTAAGAAACGTCCCCGTCATCATTATCATCATTATCATCATCGACCACGCATACATAGTAGTATCGTGCTACACGTATTCACACGTATACAACACATGCGCACACATATATCACACGTACACAACACATGCAAGATGCATGTAGTGGTAATTTTGTCCATCTCGCACGTTTTACAACAGATGGCGATAGTGGCGCTCCGCCATATCGGCAGCGTGCGGGGTTATGTTGGCTAACTCTCTCTCTCTCTCTCTCTCTCTCTCTCTCTCTCTCTCTCTCTCTCTCTCTCTCTCTCTCTCTCACACACACACACACTCTCATTCTCACTCACTCACTCACTGTTCGTCTTGTGTACTTATTTAGTACATTCATGATTAAACATCTATATGCATTAATGTGAAATTTACTTACAATTAGTTTACTTGAAATATTCAATCTCTAAAGTGTTTATCTTATAAGATAGACAAAAAAATCTGAGTAAATAATAAGAAAAAAAAAAAGGATTATTATTGTCATAATTTTTTATCAATTAAGTACTCTCAACTATCCAATAATTAAATAAATACGTACAAATGTGCGCGCGTGTACACACATACACATATTGATATTAAAGAGATTGAAGGAGAGGAAGGAGAAGATAAAAATTTAAATATTCACATATATTTTCAAATATTATATATGAATTTATAGTTTACATATCTAATTAATAATGAATTTCTAATTATATTAAACATATCAAAATAAAGACATACATGTATTTATCAAATGAATAAAATTATTGAATACAGACTTAAAAAATTTATTAAACATAGACTTAAAAAATTAATTAATTAAACATATTCCAAATTTAGAAAAAATAAACTTTATTTATATATGCAACAGCTTTTTAAACTAAATTTTTAAATTCTATTTTATATTAGACAATTATCTCAATCAACATCTACGTCCACATTAGCTGCACTGCAGACTACCTCTACAGCCACATTATCTGCTCCGCGGATATAGCGTTATGCCAATACGATACATTACATGTACTTACTTACTTGCCTTTACTGTACCAACTCTTGTTCTTTCCACGTAATCATGTTTTTACAGTTATCGTTTGCTGTATATCTTCCAGCAAACTTTATTTCGTGTGAAGTGTATTTAATTAATTAAATCTCTGCGAAAGATTGAGAAGATGAAGGGATAATTCAAACTATGAAGACATGGTTACATGGAAAAGACAAGAGTTGATACAATAATAAAGACATACATGTATTTGTATCCTGCTGGCATAAGGTTATAGAAGTTGATTGAGATTGAAAAATAATAATGAAAATAATAAAAAAAATAAAGACACATGTATTTGTATCGTGCTGGCATAAAGTTATAAAAGTTGATTGAGATTGAAAAATAATAATAAAAATAATTAAAAAAAGGAAATATTCAATCATCATTTAAAAGCATATTTGAAATCTGTAGAATAAACAGTTTTTGCAAAAAATGTGGAGCATTTGAGCTCTAGTAAGTCTAAAAATAAATGTAAACATCAATTAATAATAACTGATGTTATATATATATTATATATATAAACCAATTTGTTGCAATATTCACTATAAAAGGTTGTAAGGGTAAGATGGCTAAAAGTGAATAATTTAAAAGATAGTTAACATAATTTTACATAAACTGAAATATTTCATAAAATAAAATATTTGTAATATTTCGAAGTTTATGTAAGATTATGTAAAAATTATACCTTTACAACTTTTTATAGTAAATATTGCGAGGAATCGATTTATATGAGAAAAATTAAGGTAATTCTATTTTGAAAATATAAGTGACCTTTAAATAACCTTGAAAATCGCCGTTTAGGAAAAAGTCTGTGTCAACTTTTTCTTTTTCGAAATCCTGCAACTTTTATCTAAATTTAATAGAAAATGTATAAAAAATGCTCGACATTAGTACACACACACACACACACACACACACACACACACACATATGGGTAAATTTATATAAATAGGGTGCTTTAGGAGGAATGATCAGGATTCTAGGATATGATTGTACACATCATTTTAAGCAAAGAAGTTTAGATAAACATGTTTAATAATTGTTCTATTCCGGTCATAAAAATAATCTCTAAAAACTCACCTTTAAAAAAAGGTAAAAAAAGGCGACCAGTTAAGGGCACGCCATTAACAAAAATTATCCATTGCAAACCCATGTAGAATCCTATCCTATTGCAAACCCATGTAGAATCCTATGAAAAATTAATCATTGCAAACCCATGTAGAATCCTAGGCAAAATTAACCATTGCAAACCCATGTAGAATCGTACCCATTGCAAACCTATGTAGAATCCTATGAAAAATTAACCATTGCAAACTCATGTAGAATCCTATGAAAAATTAACCATTGCAAACCCATGTAGAATTGTATTAAAAATTATCCATTGCAAACTTATGTAGAATCCTACATTGCAAACCCATGTACAATAGAATTGTATGAAAAATTATCGATTATAAACCCATGTACAATCGTAACAAAAGTAATGAAATAAAAAAAAAATTGCGCCAAGTGAAAGTAGAAACTTGTACCAGTGGAAAATTAAAGTTGCAGACATATATAGAGTCGTATAATGAATCAGTAAAAATTTAAATTTGCAAATGTAGAATCGTACCATAAAAAAACTTATCTTTTAAAAAAAAAGATAAACAAGATGCCAAGTCCATGCGCCATGTGAAAAAGAAATAAAAAAATTTTAGTTAAAAAAACTGGGAGCGCTGCTAAATAATATTCTAACAATATTAAAATTAAATTGTTACTTTTAAACTCATTACAGTTAAAATATGTTTTGTGTTTAAATTAATTAATGTTACTTTAAGGTGCATTGTAATTTTGAAACTTAGCAGCGCGCCCAGTTTTTTTAACTAAAATTTTTTTATTTCTTTTTCACATGGCGCATGGACTTGGCATCTTGTTTATCTTTTTTTTTAAAAGATAAGTTTTTTTATGGTACGATTCTACATTTGCAAATTTAAATTTTTACTGATTCATTATACGACTCTATATATGTCTGCAACTTTAATTTTCCACTGGTACAAGTTTCTACTTTCACTTGGCGCAATTTTTTTTTTATTTCATTACTTTTGTTACGATTGTACATGGGTTTATAATCGATAATTTTTCATACAATTCTATTGTACATGGGTTTGCAATGTAGGATTCTACATAAGTTTGCAATGGATAATTTTTAATACAATTCTACATGGGTTTGCAATGGTTAATTTTTCATAGGATTCTACATGAGTTTGCAATGGTTAATTTTTCATAGGATTCTACATAGGTTTGCAATGGGTACGATTCTACATGGGTTTGCAATGGTTAATTTTGCCTAGGATTCTACATGGGTTTGCAATGATTAATTTTTCATAGGATTCTACATGGGTTTGCAATAGGATAGGATTCTACATGGGTTTGCAATGGATAATTTTTGTTAATGGCGTGCCCTTAACTGGTCGCCTTTTTTTACCTTTTTTTAAAGGTGAGTTTTTAGAGATTATATCATTCATTTTTGTATATTTTTATGACCGGAATAGAACAATTATTAAACATGTTTATCTAAACTTCTTTGCTTAAAATGATGTGTACAATCATATCCTAGAATCCTGATCATTCCTCCTAAAGCACCCTAATTATATAAATTTACCCATATGTGTGTGTGTGTGTGTGTGTATATGTGTGTGTGTGTGTGTGTATGTGTGTGTGTGTGTGTACTAATGTCGAGCATTTTTTATACATTTTCTATTAAATTTAGATAAAAGTTGCAGGATTTCGAAAAAGAAAAAGTTGACACAGACTTTTTCCTAAACGGCGATTTTCAAGGTTATTTAAAGGTCACTTATATTTTCAAAATAGAATTACCTTAATTTTTCTCATATAAATCGATTTAACTCGCAATATTTACTATAAAAAGTTGTAAAGGTATAATTTTTACATAATCTTACATAAACTTCGAAATATTACAAATATTTTATTTTATGAAATATTTCAGTTTATGTAAAATTATGTTAACTATCTTTTAAATTATTCACTTTTAGCCATCTTACCCTTACAACCTTTTATAGTGAATATTGCAACAAATTGGTTTATATATATAATATATACAGGGTTTGTCCGGAAAGTAATGCGTCGCATTTTTTTGTGACGCGACTATACATCGCAGAGCGATGGGACCGGTTGGGGAGGAAGGGGGTACCCTTAGCTTTCCAACGGTAGGTCGCTCAATTGTTTCCATGCGCTTGGAGGGTTAGGACGGCTTATTCTGTGAACCTCTGCTTAGTGGTCGCGTCGAACTTGTGATGGAGAGAACGATAGAGCAACGCTATGCGATAAAGTTTTGCGTGAAGCTGGACAAGACGCCGCTGGAAACTTTTGAAATGCTCAAGAAAGTTTTCGGGGACGATTGCCTTTCCAAATCGCAGTCAAACAGATGGCACAAGATGTTTAGAGAAGGTCGGAAGGAGGTCGCCGACGAGGCCCGCGCAGGACGCCCGTCAACATCGCGAACGGACGACAATGTGACTCGTGTGCGCCAATTATTGAATTCAGACCGTCGAATGAATGTTCGCTTAATGTCGGAATTATTGAACTTGCCGAAAACGATTGTTCACGAGATTGTATCGGAAGACTTGGCCATGCGGAAGATTTGCGCAAAACTTGTGCCCAGAGTGTTGACCGATGCGCAAAAGCAACACCGAGTGGAAGTTTGTGAAGAACTCAAGCAACTCTGTGCAGATAATCCCAATTTCCTGAACAACGTTATCACTGGGGATGAGTCATGGGTCTTTCAGTACGATCCGGAGTCAAAGAGGCAGAGTGCGGAATGGCACACGACGTACAAGCTACTTCGACGGCCTCCCTGAACAGCATCCCAGTCAAGGAGTTCCAGAAATCTTATGACGCATGGAAATCGCGTTGGCAAAAATGTATTGACGCAGAAGGGTCATACTTCGAACAATTTTAAGTTGTTTTACCTATGCGATCAATAAATTCTTTTTTAAAAAAATGCGACGCATTACTTTCCGGACAATCCCTGTATATAACATCAGTTATTATTAATTGATGTTTACATTTATTTTTAGACTTACTAGAGCTCAAATGCTCCACATTTTTTGCAAAAACTGTTTATTCTACAGATTTCAAATATGCTTTTAAATGATGATTGAATATTTCCTTTTTTTAATTATTTTTATTATTATTTTTCAATCTCAATCAACTTTTTTAACTTTATGCCAGCACGATACAAATACATGTGTCTTTATTTTTTTTATTATTTTCATTATTATTTTTCAATCTCAATCAACTTCTATAACCTTATGCCAGCAGGATACAAATACATGTATGTCTTTATTATTGTATCAACTCTTGTCTTTTCCATGTAACCATGTCTTCATAGTTTGAATTATCCCTTCATCTTCTCAATCTTTCGCAGAGATTTAATTAATTAAATACACTTCACACGAAATAAAGTTTGCTGGAAGATATACAGCAAACGATAACTGTAAAAACATGATTACGTGGAAAGAACAAGAGTTGGTACAGTAAAGGCAAGTAAGTAAGTACATGTAATGTATCGTATTGGCATAACGCTATATCCGCGGAGCAGATAATGTGGCTGTAGAGGTAGTCTGCAGTGCAGCTAATGTGGACGTAGATGTTGATTGAGATAATTGTCTAATATAAAATAGAATTTAAAAATTTAGTTTAAAAAGCTGTTGCATATATAAATAAAGTTTATTTTTTCTAAATTTGGAATATGTTTAATTAATTAATTTTTTAAGTCTATGTTTAATAAATTTTTTAAGTCTGTATTCAATAATTTTATTCATTTGATAAATACATGTATGTCTTTATTTTGATATGTTTAATATAATTAGAAATTCATTATTAATTAGATATGTAAACTATAAATTTATATATAATATTTGAAAATATATGTGAATATTTAAATTTTTATCTTCTCCTTCCTCTCCTTCAATCTCTTTAATATCAATATGTGTATGTGTGTACACGCGCGCACATTTGTACGTATTTATTTAATTATTGGATAGTTGGGAGTACTTAATTGATAAAAAATTATGACAATAATAATCCTTGTTTTTTTTTCTTATTATTTACTCAGATTTTTTTGTCTATCTTATAAGATAAACACTTTAGAGATTGAATATTTCAAGTAAACTAATTGTAAGTAAATTTCACATTAATGCATATAGATGTTTAATCATGAATGTACTAAATAAGTACACAAGACGAACAGTGAGTGAGTGAGTGAGAATGAGAGAGTGTGTGTGTGTGCGTGTGTGTGTGAGAAAGAGAGAGAGAGAGAGAGAGAGAGAGAGAGAGAGAGAGAGAGAGAGAGAGAGAGAGTTAGCCAACATAACCCCGCACGCTGCCGATCATGAATGTACTAAATAAGTACACAAGACGAACAGTGAGTGAGTGAGTGAGAATGAGAGAGTGTGTGTGTGTGTGTGTGTGTGTGTGAGAGAGAGAGAGAGAGAGAGAGAGAGAGAGAGAGAGAGAGAGAGAGAGAGAGAGAGAGAGAGAGAGAGAGAGAGAGAGAGTTAGCCAACATAACCCCGCACGCTGCCGATATGGCGGAGCGCCACTATCGCCATCTGTTGTAAAACGTGCGAGATGGACAAAATTACCACTACATGCATCTTGCATGTGTTGTGTACGTGTGATATATGTGTGCGCATGTGTTGTATACGTGTGAATACGTGTAGCACGATACTACTATGTATGCGTGGTCGATGATGATAATGATGATGATAATGATGATAATGATGATGATAATGATGACGGGGACGTTTCTTAATAGAAATTTTTCATATTTCGACTTTGCATTTATATATCTCTGCTTACTAATCACGTAGAGCAGAAATAAAGACACTTTTATTATATAATTCGAACTCAATCTATCGATTAAGTCTAGTATAAACTCGATTGCTTCAGCCATTATTGAGGATTCGAAATATTATAAAGACTCAAATGTCCGACTCGCGTTAAGATACACGGTGTCTCCGCTACGCCCTTAACTGGTCGCGAGACACTACCGTGTCTCTTGATATACAAAAATGAATGATATAATCTCTAAAAACTCACCTTTAAAAAAAGGTAAAAAAAGGCGACCAGTTAAGGGCACGCCATTAACAAAAATTATCCATTGCAAACCCATGTAGAATCGTACCCATTGCAAACCTATGTAGAATCCTATGAAAAATTAAACATTGCAAACTCATGTAGAATCCTATGAAAAATTAACCATTGCAAACCCCTGTAGAATTGTATTAAAATTATCCATTGCAAACTTATGTAGAATCCTACATTGCAAACCCATGTACAATAGAATTGTATGAAATATTATCGATTATAAACCCATGTACAATCGTAACAAAAGTAATGAAATAAAAAAAAATTGCGCCAAGTGAAAGTAGAAACTTGTACCAGTGGAAAATTAAAGTTGCAGACATATATAGAGTCGTATAATGAATCAGTAAAAATTTAAATTTGCAAATGTAGAATCGTACCATAAAAAAACTTATCTTTAAAAAAAAAGATAAACAAGATGCCAAGTCCATGCGCCATGTGAAAAAGAAATAAAAAAATGTTAGTTAAAAAAACTGGGAGCGCTGCTAAATAATATTCTAACAATATTAAAATTGAATTGTTACTTTTAAACTCATTACAGTTAAAATATGTTTTGTGTTTAAATTAATTAATGTTACTTTAAGATGCATTGTAATTTTGAAACTTAGCAGCGCGCCCAGTTTTTTTATATTCCTTTAAAGACAAAAATACCTTGAAATAAAGGCGACACGGACCAGATTTGGACGCAGGAGCTGCTGGTGAATTGCCCAAGGATCATCTCCATGTAATAAAAGGGTTTGCCGATGATGAAGAGTACTACTATATAAGGAATGAGAAAAGCACCGCCGCCGTTCTCGTAAGCCGTATAAGGAAATCGCCAGACATTTCCAAGACCGACAGAGAACGCCACACAGGACATAAGAAATTCCACTCCGTTTTTCCATTGCGCTCTCTCCTTACTCTCCTCTGTCACGTCTTCCTTTTTAATCAACATTGAAATCAATAAATTTTCTTTTCTAAAAAGAAAGAGAAGAAAGGAGGAGAGAGAGAAAGTATAAAACATTTATACATTATATATGTATATTTTCAGTTTTCTACTCGGGTATTAACTTTATTAACCTAACCTACATTCCTATATTTTCAAACCGGTATCTGCCGGCTAATAATCGTATCAATGACAGTGACATAATTCTGAGAAATTACATATATTTGTTATCTGATTTTTTTTCAGAAAACATACCGGTCATGCCATAACATATAATATTATTTACGTTCATATTGTGTGTAATCAGATTGCTCTAAAAAAATTATATAAGATTAATATTGTTTACGATATATGATATGACATCTTTAACGATTTATATTGGTTATCCGGATAGTTTAACATGTCACGTTATTCTAATGTATAGGGTGTTTATAAAGTCTGTCTCTACTGTCTATATTTTTTGGAAACGACTCAAAATTATGAAAAATCGTGAAATACGGGTTCGATCATTTCGAAGGGTTGTTTACAGAGAAGGGATTAAAAAAAGAAAATTTTTAGCATAAATCAGAAGATGATACGTTGACGCGTTTAAGAGTTATTTAGAATCAAAATTCGAAAAAAGTTAATTTAAAAAAAAATTATTTAAAAAATTAAAAAAAAAACATTCGATATGTGTGAAAGTGTTCATCTCTTTAAGTCCTTTTCATTTAAAATCCATAAAAAAATTTGACCTTGAAATTTTTAGTTTGAAAAGAGATACAAGCAACTTTGTTAACAGGTCTTACAAATATTATTATGTCATAAAGGGATAAATACATTTATGAATTTTAATTTCTAACAAGAATTTTTAATCACAAGCATTTTTTCGAGATACAAGCTGCTAGTTAAACAGTATAATGATTTAATGACTGTACGAAACGAGAGTAAAATGAGAATGCGTACGTGATCAAATGACAAACGCATCATCTCTGCAAACATTCATTTATACGCGCAAATAAAATCGCGTCGTCGTTATACACAGACAAAGATTGATCGTATGAATTAACGTTTTAAAAGTTGAAAATCTTATCTTGTTCGTAAGAAATTTTACATTTACAGTTTTTACATAGAATTGTTTATGATATGCACATGAGTCAAAGAAAGAGCTTATATATAATATTATATATATGTATATATACGATTTATATATGTATATTTATAATATGTTATATATTAAAATAAAAATATAATAATTAAATAAAATATTACAAAATTAAAATATTTATATATATATATATATATATATATAAATATAGAGTTTATATATAAAAATATATATATGTATATAGGGTGGCGCCACCTGTATATTTTTTATATGTATGCTCTATATATATTTTTAATTTTATATATATACATATATAAAATTAAAAATATATATAGACTATGCTAATAAAAAATATATACATGTATATATATATATATATATATATATATATATATACATGTATATATATATATATATATATGTATATATATATATATATGTATATATAAAAAATATAGAGTTTATATATATAATATATATATATATATATATATATATTATATATATAAACTCTATATTTTTAATTTTAATTTATAATATCAAAATAAGATAAATATTTTATAATATTTTACACACAACACACATGTAATATGCTACATTATAGATACACACATTTCACACATATATTAACTAATAATTAATTACACGCACAATATTTATTAAAAAGTTAAAAACTTTATATTTTATTTTACTTTATCCTTTATTGTCAATGTTACAACAAGGATAAAGATATATTTTTCTAAAAGAACATTATTTTCTTTTGTATAAGGAAAATTCTATTCATACATTTTTCACACTTTTACACTATAATTAATATACGATATAAAAAATATAATTTATAAACTTATAAATAGTAGTATTATGTAAAATTTTATATGTATATGTAAATATATATGTTATACATATATTATATATATTATATATTTATTAATTTTTATAATGTATGTCCAAACCTTTGTGTGTTCCATTCTTGTTTCAGGATAAAAAGTATTATATTATCCCTTTCTTTTCTCGAAATTCTACACGCGTCTTGTTAATCAGTCGACAATCTTCGATAGACTGCTTAAAGAAATCATTCAACGCGTGTATACGGATCTGAACAACACATGCACACAATAACACAGTTCTTTCTGTCGGATTAAAGCGCACGACTCATTGTTAATCACAGTAATAATGCTTAATAAAAGATTTTTCTTTTTTTCCTCTTTTTTAATATCTTCTAGATTTGTCCACGTAAAATCCAAATAACAGTCTAATAACAATAAGACGGATTAAATGTAAATCTGCGATCAGCTTTTGTAATTTTTATCTATCACATTGTTCACTTATTTTTGTTTTTCACATAAATTTTCCTGTTCGTATAACACACTTATTATGTATTAATAATAGGTTATTATTATGTATATATTATATAATCTTTCTTTTTTTGTTTATTTTTCATTGCGTTTAATTCTTTGTTTCTCTATAATACGAGGAGACAGAAATAAGAGAACAATTTTTTTAAATTACAGAAGAATACAGAAAGAATATATGACACAGATATGTGTACAGTGGAATATTTTTCTATGGAAATAATAACAGGTAATTTTTAACGTAGATGTTAAATTTTTCCGTGTCAATATGTACCGTTTATATACCGTCTGATTAAAAAAGATTCACACCTGTTAAAGTTTGCCTATACAAAAATGACTAATTCAAATGGCATTCTGCAACAAGATGGATCAAATATAAACGGTAATCACATCGAAATTAAATGAATAATGAAATTAAAATGATTAACATTTTGATCACATCAAAAAATAATATAATGAAAATATTTGATTAATATACAACTATACAATAACGAAATTAAAAATAGAACAACAATAAATCATTAAATTATTAATAATTCAGAGATAAGCTTATTTTATTAATTAATTATTAATTATAGTAGCATAGTTACATTTTAATTGTAATAATTATTAACACTACATATAGCTTTTCACTTATATATTTTAAGTTAGCTTGTTGATAAAAATGATATATTGTTTATTCATATATACTTTTATAATTTATTTAATAGTTTATTTATAATTGATGTCTCAATATTGTCTCTCCATGTAATAAATTCATATTAATAATTATTAAGAGACAAAATGAAATTATAAATATTATATTTATACAATATGATATCTGGCTTGATTTTGTTTTTCTATCAGTTAAAAGAAAAGAAAACAATAAAAAGTTTTTATACCCTAAAAATTATGTTATTTTCATATCACTAAAACCTTATGAAAAATCATCGTATACTAAAAATGGAAAAAGTATTTTAAAGCTTATCAATTTGTAAGTTTACTTTGAAAATCATATAACTTGGTAAAAAAATAGGAAAATTTTAAAAAGCATTTTATATGTAGATAAAATTATAATACTTTTATGAAACTTGAGTAGAATTTTTTGAGAGAGATTTTTTATCGAGCTGCAGAATACAAAAAATATATAATTTTAAGGAACAAAACAATGTGTTATTTTTTAAAGCACAGAACTGAAAGATATAAAATTTTGTTTAAAATCACCGATTCTACACACAAGTTAAAATTAAAATTTCAAATTTCAAAATTTTTTAATTTTAAAATTGAAATTTCAACTTTTGTAATTTTTAATCTAATAATGATTTTTCACCTAGTTCCAGCAATTTGAAAATAGCCTAATTTTTTTAGACTATAAAAGTGTTTTCTATTTTTTAGTAGTGTATATATGTAAAAATTTCAATGTCTACTGTACAAATTAGTTGCATAATATCATTGTAACTTTCTTGATTTTAAGTACAAATAAACGAGAAATGATTTATCAAAACGACAAATTTTCAATTATCGAGTGAGAGTGAGATAAATTTAAAAATGTGATAATAAAAACAATCAAGCGGATTTCTCTAATACATATTTTATTTCGGCTAATTTTTAATCTAGGTGTAATAAACTAGTACACTTTTAAATATACATATATATACAGTTAAAATTTATAAATTAGGTTGTCCAGATCTTGTGTAATATGATCGGTAACTTTTAATTACGTGCGTATTTAATTAAAAGACAGTAACATTTTATACATTTTTACATATTCGTGTCTATGTAATTTAAAGAGTTAAATAAAACGACGCGATCTGTATTTTCAATATTCAGGCACATCTTATTGTCTCGTTATACACAATTTTGCTTTCATTATTAGGTGCTAAGATATTTTAAAAATATCTTATTTGTGAAGAATTTCGAGTAAAGATGCGTATTTTTATATATATAAAACATATTATACATATATGTAACTTGTAATATACAGGGTGTCCGGTAACTAACGAACCAACGATTACAAATGGATTCTTTGGTCAATTTGGGAACGATTTTTCCTCAGCAAGAATGTCGAAAAAGGTCATCATTTTTTACAACTTTCTAATATTTGTCATTATGTATCTTTATAACTAAGCCTCAAATTATAATTTTATTATAGTGAACTCTACCTGAAATTAACTGAAGAATGTAATTATGTTAGACTTTTAACTCCAAAACGTTTAGTTTTCAAAAAACCTATTTTTTTCAATCGCTTATAACTCGAAAATTATTGACTTCTCAACATTTTTGCTAAGGAAAAATCGTCTCCAAATTGGCCAGAGAATCCGCCCTTAATCATTGGTCCGTTAGTTACCGGACACCCTGTATAAGGGAAAAGTATGCTAAATCGTATACCCCCTAAGATAAATATTAAAATTGCAATAAAATTATTAAAGGATGATCAAATTTTTAAATTTATTTAAAACTATGAGTTCTTTATCAACAATATATGCTAAACATTAACATTAATTTATTATTGTTTCATGTCATAAATTAAAAATTAAAAACGATTTACAATATCGGTTTGTTGAATTGTACCTATGAGTTTTTAAAATATAACAATAAAATTTAAAAAATTTCTTAAAATTAAAAATTAAAGTTTTATTTTCTACAATAATTCTCAGTCTGCAACAAAACATATCTAAAAAACAATGATAAATTATTAAATTAAGGCCATGTGTAACGAGCAATACGAAATTATTTTATTATTTAGAAGAAAATTCTTAATTTGACATAATAATTACACAAACGTTTCGAGCTCTACTTGCTCCTCTTCAGTGCGCAAAAAAATAATGATAATAAATACCCATAATAAATAAATACATACATAAAGTTCTAATAAAAAATCCGCAATACATAGTCAATATAAGTTATATAGTTAAGTCATAGTTAAAACGCAAAATATATTTACAATGAATTGGAACCATTAAAATAGTTCAACAAAGTAAGAACCCAATTAGAAGCAGAATGATTCGTCCGGTTATTCATAAAATATTTTAGAATTATTAATAAAAACTCGGAGTGACACTTATACATTGCTCCAAACGAACCACTTATCGTTATTTGACGAAAGTCCCTCGATCTGGCAATGATTATGTCCATCCTCTCCAAATTATTTGATATTTGTTAAAAATTGTTCCGAATAACTTGAGATGACGATGCTTCTAATTGTTGTTGGCCTTATTGTTAGTACTTGACTCATATCTATAAGATACATATCTATAAGAATATTATATTTATAATCATAAAAATTCTTTTCAAAACAAAAATATTTTTTACAGCATACAAAAATGTAAATAAGTATTATCTCAATATAATTATAAAGATAATATTTTCTTCAAAAGTTATCCATTTAAATATAAGTACAATAGAGGTACGATTTAACAAACAATACGATTTAACATAATTTTCTGTATGTGTGTGTATATGTGTGCAAAATATAATAGATAAATAATTTGTAAAAAAATATAATATACATTATATGTACAATAATATGTATAAAGAAAGATATGCAAACGCACGCACACACACATACGCACAGGCATATCTGGCATGATTTATTTTTTTATTATGTTATTTTAACTAATATAAAAGCTTATAATATCAATTTAGAAAAATAGAGGAACAGTAAATAAAGCTTAGCTCTTTTATTTGAAAAATGTCTTTATCAGACTGCTCTGGACTCTTATTAATTTCTTCTGTGTCGTAAATGCTTCGTATTCTATATGTGTCTTTGGATTCTTGGGTCCCCACTTTCTAGAAGGTCGAAATGCCATTTTGACAGACTATAATGTGTTAAAATTTCAAGGATTAGTTTCCAATATTGATTTTCTTTCGAATTTGATATAATGATATAATCATATATATAGAAGATATTTTATTTTAGTACAGTCAAATATCTCTAAATCTATAGGATTGTGAGAAAATATATAGTTAAGAGGTTTTAAGGGACAAAAAGTTGATAATGTTGAATTTTAACTGAAATTATTTTTCAAGGTTATTTGAAAATCAATCTAATTTTTTAAAATAAAACCACTCTAATTTTTTTATATAAATCGATTACTCTCAATACTCGACATAAAAAGTTATAAGGGTAATGATCAAACATTAAATATAGTTTACGAGATATTTTACACTTTAATTTAATATAATTTTACAACTATAAAATATCTTGTACCCAAACAGCACAGAATATTTATAAAATATTTATAGAATACTTATAATAATTATTTTAATATTTTATAAATATTTATCATAAATATTTTATTAATGTTTTGGAGTCTTAGATTCAATAGATTATAAATATTTATCATAAATATCAGAAAATATTTACAATAAATATTATGGTAAATATTATAAATATATTTATTAAATCATGATACAGATTTTTAAAATTTTATATTTTTTCAAATAAATATTCAGTAAGAAATCATGAGTTAAAAAGACATAATTATCGATTTTTTAATCAAAACGATCGATATTAATATAGTTAATCTCAAATTTGGTCGATTAAATGTTTTTTGTGTTTTTCAAATTCTATTAGCCATTTATAAAAAGTTAAAAATGTGTAAAAAATGTTTATAAGTAACTTACTAGACATTTATTTTAAAATATAATATAAAATTATAATATACACTGAATATACTTAGGCAACAGAGTAGTTTAACAAATAAATTTACGTACACATCGATTGTATACGTAAATTTATATGTTAAAAGACATTCTGTTGCAGAAAGTAGCTCAAAAATAGAAATCATTTTATGACATTTTTAATTTTATTAATTTCCGTTTTTGTCAGCCTTATATAATTCTCATAATTCTTATAATTCTCACGACGAAAATCAAATACGAGAAAGGTACGTCACATAGCGATAAATGAAAGAACTAACAATTTAGTTAAAAATATTTACAAAATAATTACTATAAATATTTATCTTTACATATTATAAATATTATATGAAATATTTAATCTATGTTTTAATAATATGTTAAATAAAGGTTTTTATAAAACATTTTCAAAATATTTATATAATATTTGAAAAAATGTAGTGTCCCATTTTAATCGATCACCTCTTATAACTTTGCAGGGAGCAGTCGTAGAGAAAAATGTTTCAGGCAAAAGTTGTATGGCTCCAAGGGGGACATAAGATGGTGATCTTGGCCTTGACCTTGTAATCAAGTTTGAAGGTCATTTGAAGGTCAACTTAATTTTTTAAAATAAGACCCTATTTACACACACACACACACACACACACACACACACACACATATATACGCACACACGCACGCACGCACACGCGCGCGCGCGCGCGAAACACATCTAATTATAGTGTTTTGGAAAGCTCTCAAGGCGAGCTAAAAGAATATGTAATAAAAATAGAGGATTTTATGTTAAAAAATTAAGTTGATCTTCAAATAATTTTCAAATTTGATTGCAAGGTCAAGGCCAACATCCCCATCTTATGTTCCCCTTGGAGCCATACAACTTTTGCCTGAAACATTTTTCTCTACGACTGCTCCCTGCAAAGTTACAAGGGGTGATCGATTAAAATGGGACACCCTGTATATTCATAAATATTTATGAATCTTTATCATAAATATTCTGTGCTGTCTGGGGTAAAATATTCATTTTTCGATAATTTCTTAATACTTTTGTATAAAGAAGAATCAATTAGTGCAAAGAAAACAATTGTTTTTACGAAAAAATATATAATTTGCAACCAACAGTTGACCTCTTATTATACGTACCGAGATATTTTACAGTTTATGTAAAATTATGTCAAATTATAAAATATCTTGTAAACTATTCATTTTTTATCACCGTACTCTTATGACGAACATTGCAAGGAATCGACAAAACTGTTTTTAGTATACAAAAAATTAAGATAATTCTATTTAAGAATAGATTAACCTTCAGATGACCTTGAAACTAACCTTCATTAAAAATCAAAATTATGAAGTTTTTCCTTCCTCGAAACTTTTCAATTCTTATATAAAATATTTTTTCGTCATAATCATAGGTTCACAGATATTCGACTATATTAATTAAAATAAAAAAACACCGATGTATATAAAAGATATACCTACTTCTGTAAAGGAGGAAAATTTTTTTCTGAAAATTTTATGGCTGACCCAATAGATTATAGGAGATATGCCTAGAGCCAGTAGAAACCATCCTATGCCTATATAAATAAAATAGAAAGTAAAAATTTTATACATGTTATTAATAAGCGATCAATTGTTAAACCTACTTTAGACAATTTATAACAATAGAATTTCTCTCTACATTGTATAATATGCAATGTAATAGCAGAAAGTATTTGAAGAATTGAATAAACATAACATATAAATTTATAAGTTTATCGTCCAAAGTAGACTTAAGATACTAAAAAAACTTTTACTGACCGTAAGCATAATCAGGAAATCGTACGCCATCGTACAAAAGCGGTTCGTAAGTTGCGCACGTGTAGATCAATATGACGATCATAAGCAGGGGTGTGATTAAGAACCAACATAATCGCCAGTAGATACCTAGTCTCTTACCCAGCATAAATTCCATATCGTCAAGGAAATTCGTAAGACCATACACCCAGAAAATAGTCATCATCTCAAGAACACCGACAATTATTGCCACGAAGGTTCCGCCAAAGTAATCGACCAACGTTATGAACCATTGACCACCCTGTGTGTGTAACATATAAAGGGTGTAACCAAACAAAGGTATACGAAACACATCATTAGGTGTAAGACGACAAACTAAATCGAAAAGTCCTGAAGCATTTTTAATTTGAGCTTTATTTTTGACGCTATAAATTGTTCAAGTTTACCAATCAGCGTATGGCTACAACGGAAAACAGCGTAGGTGCCGCCTTAGTAAGCGTACTAACAATAAGCCACACGCTAATTAGCTAACTTTTCATAATATAACTAACAATTCATAACGTCAAAAATAAAGCTCAGATTAAAAAATGGCTCAGGACTTTTCGATTTAGTTTGTTGTCCTGCACCAGATGATGTGCTTCATATATCTTTGTTTAATTGAAAAAAATTATTCAACACTGTCAAATAAATTATTTATTTGAAACTAATAATATTGATTTGATGTGAAAAATATTTATTTGACATAAGAAAATCTTTTTTAAAACACACACACACAAATAAATATATATTCAAAATAAAATATCTATTAAGCAGTGTTGAAATAAATATTTCTTAATTTAATAATTTAATAATTTTTTTCCACCCTCCATCCAGTGCAACCTGTATATAAAATTGACATTTAATATTTGAGAGCAAGTGCATTTAATTTTACATACTGGAGTGATGTAGATGAGACTGACGACGTAGCCGACGGAACTAACGCAGAGTACCAGTAACCATTGCCTCACTCCGGGAAAATGATCGCATAAAATGTTAAACACAGCGCCGCACAAAGCGACGGCGCTTCCTGTACCGAGGACGAATAGCATGATGAAAAACAGCACGGAGAACACCTGTGGCACGACAGTGAAGCGCGACAGAGCGTCCGGATACGAGATGAAGGCTAATCCAGTGCCACCGCGGACCACCTTGGAGATATCCGTCGTGCCCATCTCATGAGCTAGATTACCGAGGATACCGAAAATAGTGCAACCGGCTATTAAACTAGTAAACGTATCCAGCGTTGTCACTATCATTACATCTCTGAAATGAAATAAAATATTTAAGGTAATATGGAAAGCGTATTTTTTCACTATTCTCAGTTTAAGCAAAGAAGTATATAAAACCAATTATCATGATTTACGATGATTGGTTTTGTACCACAACATTTTTCCAATTTTGTACACTCCTTTCTAAAGACTAAAGGAAGAAGGAAGATACGATCAAAAATAAAATACAATTTATAAAATTATTCAAAAGAGAGGATCCGATAGTCCACGTTGTTAATTGGACATTAACTTTAGGACTTTCTGATCAATCGTGGTGGTTACTCTGGACACCGTTCGATGTGTGTGTGTGTGGATGTATGCACTAACAAAAATCTCATTGAAAATTATTCATCCAATTTCAAATGATTATATTATTCAAATGATTATATGTATATTATATACAAATACATAAGTATTAGTTTTACAACTAAAAGAAAAACTATCAAAGTCTCTTATCTTATAAGTTTTGTCTCTTATCTTATAAGTGTTGTGTTTTCCCCTTAGTTACACGAGCAACAAACGTTAATAATTCCTCTTATACTCTAGTATATCCGTTGTCACTGATCCCACAGTTGTAACAATGTAATTTTTAAGTTTATTCAGGTCTGTGAGCAACGGTAGCACAATATTCCCAGACAACAAAACGTCTAAAATCGGGACATAAGACGTCTTAAAGGAATCATCAAGATGTCTTTTAGTCATCATATTAAAATGTATTTAAGATATGTCAATAAGATATCTTTAAGACGTCTTATATTCCGGTTCTTAACATCCCTCCCCAAAATATGGTATTTTATGATTTGGTGCTCTATATTTAGCCTTTTAGAGTTTAGGTCTTCACCGATCTTACACCGTATGATTTTTCCTTTTCAGGGAAGTTCGTTAAGAATGTTGGGTACATACCACTATTGCCCACAATTCTGGATCACCTCAAAAATCGCATTGTTACAATCAGTGACAATGGATATGTTAAAACGAGTATAAGAATATTGTCTCAAATATTGTTCGTGGTAACTAATCCCTTAGTTATGACTTCCCAGTCATATTAGGCTTGTTTTCTGTACTTGCACTGGCTGAACTGTGCAGGAATAGAAAACAAGCCTAATATTGAACATATTTAACAATGAAGTGTACAAATAGAAAATTTTTAAGTAGAGAACTCGAACATTTAGAAAACGTTGTAAATCCTTAAATTTTAAGATCCAATGATCTTTTTACCTGTCTACTCTGTGCCCGAAGTTGTTGTAGGATGAGTAACTGATGATTGGGCCGAAGCAGACCGACAATGAGAAGAAGCATTGCGTAATAGCGGCGTACCAGACGTTAGGCTTCCACAAAGCGTCCCATTTCGGCGTGATAAAGAAAAGAATGCCGTTGACAGCGCCTTCTAGAGTTATGGCTCTGATCAACAGAGCTATCATCACGACGTAAGGAAATAATGCAAGAAAGTAAACGGCTTTGCCCGTACTCTTCACGCCGCGGAAGAGCACTCCAAAGATACAAGCCCAACTGAGAAATAGACATATTGCCAGTTGCCAGGATGGCGCGCCGATACCGCTCTCAATTGACTCGTATTCTTGCAACACTACTTTCCTGAAAATTATGCAAGGATTTTAAAAAGTCATGTTTGTCGAATTTTCCCAAAGGAATGAAAAATAAGATTTTGAAACTAAAAGAATACAGGGTGTTTACGAAATATTTGGCCAACTTATTCTTTATATCAAAATAATAAAAAAAGTTTGCATCTTTAATAAAAAATGATGAGTGACTGCAAGATTTTTAGTATCTTTTATACAAGTTAAGTTAATTATAATAATTACTTATTTATGATTACTGCTTAATAATAATGTTAACATAAATTTTGTTTTAGATTTATTCCTCTTTTTAATATAAAGCAAGATGTTTAAAAGAGGACTGAGAAAAAATGATTAAAAATTGTTTTATTTTTAAACCTGAAATACAGCTCTGCGGAACTTCGAACAGTAACATTGCGAGTTTCGGGGATACTGCCGTTCGAGGAAGCATCAATACAATAATTTTGCCATTCCGTGCGACAGACCGACCACGGCAACTCAGACTGGAAACTCATTACCAAGTAGTACAAGGTCAATGCCATCAGAGCGCAGTAGTACGAAACGACACAGAACGCGGCGTAGGCTTGTGAGTAGCCTAAACCTAAAAGTAGATCTCGATGTGCTACATAGTCTCAATGTTCAAGGATCAAGAAGAATTTTATTTGAAGAATTGAAAAACAAATCTATTATAAAATTAATTTTTGAATATAAGTATAAAAGAAATTCTTAAGATCTTTTTCGCAATATTTCCTATATTTATAATATTCAGTATTTTTTATTATAATAATCTTTTTTCTTTTCTAGTAATTTTTAAAAAGATCTTAACATTATCTTGGTTTTTATAAATCTATACTTTAAACTTATGTTAGTGCTAAATCAGGGGTTTGTTCTCTATTGCTGTACTGATGATCTACTGTATACTGATGCAATAAGTTAAAATAAGACAAGTATATTTTGTTTCACTCTAACTTTACTGCATCAGAGTGTGCACTAGTTCACCAGTGGAGCAATAAAGAAAAAAATCCTAAATCTACTATAAACAAATGCAACTTTAAGTTTGTTCTTTATTGCTGCACTGATGAACTAGTGCAATAAGTTAGAGTGAGACAAATATATTTTGTGTCATTCTAATTTACTGCAACAGTCTGCACTAGTTCACTAGTGCAACAATAGAGAACACTCATTGTTTGAATTTCACTTGATTAATCGGGTTTGTTCTTTTCTGCTGGTGAATTAGTGCACACTGATGCAATAAATTAGAATGAGATAAGTATGTTTTGCCACTCTAACTCATTGCACTAGTATGTACAGATCAACTAGTGCAGGAACAGAAAACAAATATCATCTCACCCTTCATGGCTGGTGTCATGTACCATGTTTTCGCGCAGGATCTATTGGTAAATTGTCCCAGTAGTGCTTCTAAGAGATAAAACGGTTTCCCGACCAAAATCAGAACTATAATGTAAGGTATTAGAAAGGCACCACCTCCGTTCTCGTATGCGGTGAATGGAAATCTCCACACGTTTCCCAACCCAACAGAAGTGGCTATACAAGCCATCAGAAATTGTAGTCTGCCTCCCCATTCAGCTTCTTTAGCGACCACCTGGAATAATTTGTATTTTATCAATTTATAACTATATTTTTTTATTGTCTTAATCACGTATAAGTAATATATATATATATATATATATATATATATATATATATACAATATATATACATATATATATGTATGTATGTATACACACTGAGTTTTCGGAATGTTCCTGCTGTTTGTCAAGATGCGCTGTTTTATAATCGGGCGGAATATTTTCGTGAGAATCAAAACCGTCTAATTGGAAAGCCTCGTTAATATATCCACTTTGTTTCTAAAAGACAATTTGCGATATTTAAATAAATTTAATATAAAATTCGAAGAAACTATCTTTTATTATATAATTAAAACAAATATCTTACATAAATGTTATTTTCATTCTTTTCCGTCTTTGCCATTGCGAGTTGCACAAAAATAAGAAACACGAAAGAAAATGAAGGTTAATCTTTAAGGAATATATTGAAGTCTCTCCCTAGCGACAGAGTGCTAATTAAATCGTGTGCGAAAAACTACCTCGGACTTCTACTGATAATGATCAAGCCAAGATTTGGTTGGCAATCTTTATCCTATTTTCACTCGCGAATACTTTGCGATAAGATACCGGCTTATTCAAACCAGTGATTTCACGATGCTTTACTTGAAAAAGATCACGTCAATCTTTTTCTCTCTTTCTTACAAAATTTACATTTTATATTTTATTTGCAAAAATAAAAAATACACCTATAAGATTTTATAAAGTAGTGAAATATTGCGATAAATTTAACACTTAAACGACCACACAATCATTTACTTTGCAATTTTAAATCTAGTGCACTATTTTTTTTCTATTACTAATCCACGCTTTTGTTAGAAATTTAAGAGAATTTGCTCCGTCAGGTACGGTAAAGTGATTAATTAAATCCGTGTTCAGTGAGTAACTATAAAAGTCTCGTTGTTGCCTTCAACGAAGATAGCGATCTGTCTAATAACCCGGGAAACACAATTTCACTTATTACGAGAACATCTTCACACGCGCGACTCCCGGACGACGATACAAAGATAAAGATACCTATACGCGTTCCCGCATTCACACATGATTCGAGAACGAGGTTCTCGAGATCTGTGTCGCGGATTGGTCAACAAATCCGCGTCAAGTCGGATAAAGTTATCCTTTGCCGATTAAATATACACTAGTTTATTTTCTCATCGCACATGCTTCAGTTTTCATCCTCTCTTTCATGATGTAACGAGCAATAAACCGGTTTAACTGTAAATTGTCTTTTGACAATATATCCTCAAGGATCTTTGCACGGAAACTCGAAATGCACAGATGACAATAATATCTGTGAAATCAATTTTGTCTAAAAAAAATTGACGATTCCCGTTTAATTAGATTGGATGAAAGCAAAAGAGACATCAGTACTTGTACATAAATACTAGTACAAAGCGCTAATATATAATCTTAAAAATTATTTATTTATTATTATATATTATTATTATTTTTATTTATTATTTATTAATTATTATTTATTTATTTAATTAATTTTTAAATTTATTTTTAATAATTATTAATTTATTAATTTTAAAATTTTTTATTATTATTTATTTTTTTATTACTATTTTTATTATTATTATTTTTTATTTTATTATTATTTTATTATTTATTTTATTATTATTGTTTATTAATTATTTAATTAGTAATTTCAAGGAATATAAAAATAGCCTTTGATGCAGAAATTGCAGAAATTAATTACACAACTGAATTATCTTGGTTAATTGAACCTGCAGTAAAGAATAAACAGACAAATGCGCTTTAATTCACTCAAAGTATCTACTGACGTAGGAATCGTTTTTATCGAAAAAACGTCATAAAGTCATAAAGAATCACGATGTCAAAATATCGATGGAATTTTTCTATATGTGAACAAATAATAGTGCAAGTATGTACCTTCATAAAAATTTACGAAGTTAGCACATTCATAAAAATTGACGAAATCCAACGTGATGAGCTCATCCGTAACAAATAAAACGCGAATTATTTAAACACATCGTAAATATGCGACGAGTAAATTATTGATTTGTTGATTAACAAGATGTAGCTCGATGGAATTTTACAAAGAACATTATTATTTCTTGAAAAAGAGAATCTTTTATTATTTTTTTAAAATTGAGATAAAATCATTAAAAAATTAATATTTTATTTACGTAAATTTTAATTTACGTAAAAAAATTAATGTCAAATTAAAATATATATAACATATCTCCTAAATTATTCAATTTTTGGCTATCTTCTAATGTTATTCTACCTTTATAACTTTTTAAGCCGAACATTGCGAGAAATGATTTACATAAAAAATTAAAGTAGTTTTATTTTAAAAAATTAAGTTTATCTTTAATGACATTGAAACAACGCCATCCAAAGATAATTTTAGATCAAAATATTTTATATTTTCCCTCGAAAAATTCTATAACTTTTGCCTGATACATTTTTGTCTAAAGCCACGTGATTTTTAAATATTTGTTTATCATCAGATTACAATGACAATATAGTATGTTTCTTTATATCAATTTTATATTTGCATTAAATTGGTGTAAATTATTGATTTATCGTTTGGTGATTAAAAAGTCTAAAAAAATATGTAACTAATATATTGAATTATATTATATTTAATAATATTAATGATTTTTTTTATTTGATTTCCTCTTTATTCCAGTCGTGCAATCGATGGATACTTACAGGTATGTATAATATCAGTATCAACTTGCATAAAAGAGCGATTTTTATGCCATCGTATACTCCAAGGTCCACCTCTTACATACACATATGTGCATAATAATAACGATATCCAACACCCGCAAAGAGAGAATATGTCAGAGGAAGCAAATAGAATTGCGTCTTATTTATTCTGAATCATATATATTATGTATATATCGAAGAAATTCAAATATCTTTATAATAATTAATTTTTTTTAATTAACTAAAGAGTTTGTCACAGTACTGTGTTAAATAAAGTTTATGCTAAATTTATGCTAACTAAATATTTATTAAAGGCTTTGTCAGTAATAGTATTTTATAATAAATAGAATGTATATATAATATAAAAAAATCGTTATATACCATAAAAATCAAATTTCATAAAAGGATATACGATTAGTAATACTGCGAATTAAACAAAAATGTGACTGTCGATTCGATTTGCGATAATTTTTGTTCTCAATTTTTCAGTTATGCTTCTCTTGACATAAAATGACACGACAGAAAATTGTACATACATATTTTTAAAAAACGAAATAAAGGTTCAAATCGGCTTGAGAAGAATAATCGATAAACGGCGATCACACACAATGATGGACAATCTGGGTGACATTTATTATCTAGTACAATTGATTGCCTGGCAAATTTTTATATATCTACGAGTACGTTTTTTTTACACTTAACCCCATTAACTCGCGATGGACAACAAGATTGAGCTAGAAACTTCTTAACGCGATCAATATTTATTAATTAATTAATATATAATATATATGTTGATATATATTTCATATACCTTTTATTATCTCGGCAAGAGAATGTCGACAAGTTATGTTAACATTTATCTTTTGCCGCGTGTGTATATATGTATGTATTAATATGTATACACCGACTTTAATTTTTGCAAATATATCTTAGGATTTTATTTTCTACGAATTTACGTGGTTCACGCCGTCAGCGGAAAATCATGATGATTCGGAGATCCTCACGCCGCAGCATCCGGCCGCCGAATTTTTTGTACTTTTCACTGTTTGTGGTTTCATCTTCGCATTTATGATCCTATCCGGGAATTCTTCCAAGAACGAGATGTCGAATCACGGCATTTATGACATCGAGACGTAAGTTTTCGTTGTTTCAAAAAAAAATTTAATTTATTAAAAAAAACAATTTTATTTGATATTAATTTTATTATACAATTATGTAAGAGAAAAAGAGAGAAGTAAGATTGATTAAAGACATTTTTCCTATTCCTCTTCTCTGGTTTTTCATATTCCTTAAATTCAGGATTTCCACGACTTTTAAGAATGATCCGTCGTCTCTTTGGTATTCGAAAACTGCAAACTTGAATTTAACAAATTACTTTCACGCTTGCGATTTAATCAATTCATCGCACGACATCGTTCTTAAGAAGCAAAATATCTCATATCCAACTTTCTCAAAATGCAGAATGTCACGACGTAAGGATAATTATAACAAATAATAATAAGAATGATGATGATGATGATGATGATGACGATGACGATGACGATAACGATGACAATGACGATGACGATGACGATGACGATTATAATGATGATGACGATGATTATGACGATGATGATAATGATGATAATGATAATAATAATGATAATGATGATGATGATGATGATGATGATGATGATGATGATGATGATGATGATGATGTGATGTTGATGATTATGATGATGATGTGATGTTGTTGATTATGATAATGATCTTTTCTATTCTTTAGATTCAAAAACTTCAAATTGCAGCGTGAGCTCTGTTTATCCTCAACATTTTCAGAAGACGCAAGTCAAGAATTATCCTTCTGCTCAAGCGACATCTCGGGAATGGTTGATAAGACGCACCAGGAGTGGTCACGTTTACGGAAAGTACCCGATATAGCAAAAAAAGAAACTATTTAACATAAAACGTCGATATCGAACGTCAAAATGAACGAAGGAATCTGTTGAAATTTAAGACAATTATTTGTTGCATCCACCTTGAGAGAAAGAGAGACGAGAATATATTTGTTAGGCGAGAGGAAAATATGTAGTATTTTTTGATACTATATTATATAATTATAGCACATTTTTGATATTTTTAAATTTTAATTATTTTTCTTGTGTCCATATTTATACAGTTTTTTACACCGGCGTGATATATCTTTATTTCGACATTTTGCCTTTTATATTTTTTTTATCAATCTTTTTATGTCACGCCAGTGTGTGGATATTATATTTATGTACGTGGAATGATATATATGGGTAATTCCACGTCAAATCGGACAAAAATCAGCCTTTTTTGACTTCGTATTTTTAAAACAAACAAAACTTTTTTACATGAAATATACATAAAATAAGGAGATACGTATTTTTGCATTTGTCCGAAATATTTTTTTGCAGAAGTTATAAATAATACAATTTTCATGGAAAATAAAGAAGTTGTCAACTTTAAAAATTAATATCTGTGATTATATATATTTGTCGTAGAGATATTTTCACAAAAGCATTTTAAAGCTAAGAAGACAATCTTTACTATCAAATTAGTTTAAGTTCCAAAAAATTATTAATTTTAATTGTTCTAATTAATTAAAATGTTTAATAATTTTTTTCAACAAAAAATACACTTTTTAAAATTTTCAAAAAAATACTATTTTATTCTCCATTTTATTCTGAAAGTGCATATATTTTTTATTTTATGGAGAATTAATACATTTTATTTCTTTTATATATTTTTAATTCTATATTAACTCCAAAAATAATAGTGACGAAACAATCGACGGCATCGATGCGTCGTTTGATCGAGCTAGTGACGCGAACACGGCGCAGCATGGCATCTAATTTATTAAAAATATACAAAAGAAATAAAATGCATTAATTCTTCATAAAATAAAAAATATACACATTTTCAGAATAAAATGGAGAATAAAATAGTATTTTTTTGAAAATTTTAAAAAGTATATTTTTTGTTAAAAAAAATTATTAAATGCTTTAATTAATTAAAACAAATAAAATTAATAATTCTTTAGAACTTAAACTAATTTGATAGTAAAGATTGTCTTCTTAGCTTTAAAATGCTTTTTTGAAAATATCTCTACGACAAATATAATCACAGATATTAATTTTTAAAGTTGACAACTTCTTCATTTTTCACGAAAATTGTATTATATATAACTTCTGCAAAAAAAAAATATTTCAGACAAATGCAAAAATACGTATCTCCTTATTTTATGTATATTTTATATAAAAAAAGTTTTGTTTGTTTTAAAAAATACGAAGTCGATTTTTGTCCGATTTGACGTGGAATTACCCATAATATATGTATTATGTATATACAGGGTGTCCGGTAACTAACGGACTAATGATTAAGGGCGGATTCTCTGGCCAATTTGGAGACGATTTTTCCTTAGCAAAAATGTTGAGAAATCAATAATTTTCGAGTTATAAGCGATTGAAAAAAAATGGATTTTTTGAAAACTAAACGTTTTGGAGTTAAAAGTCTAACATAATTACATTCTTCAGTTAATTTCAGGTAGAGTTTACTATAATAAAATTATAATTTGAGGCTTAGTTATAAAGATACATAATGACAAATATTGGAAAGTTGTAAAAAATGATGACCTTTTTCGACATTTTTGCTGAGGAAAAATCGTTCCCAAATTGACCAAAAAATCCACTTGTAATCGTTGATCCGTTAATTACCGGACACCCTGTATATGTATATATATACATGTTTGCAATCGGCTTGTAATAAACGTTAATAAATGTTTTATTATACGGCTTCGTGAATTCTTATACTGATTGCTTCTACGTTTTTAATGACGATTAACCCTTTCGGCGTGTGCGTTATCGGATAGATAACGACACGCGCAAGCTCTTTACTCGCTCGACAATTTATTACATTTTGTCTGTATATTGTCTGTCATAAAATGGAATCCAGTCTTATCACTGTGGACACGATATCTTTCATTGGATGTGTAAAGATCGAATTCGATCAAACAATCAATACTACGGTAATTATTGGATTAGTGATAAGAGAGAACGCAAGAGAGGAATTATTTTTTCAAAATAGCTACAATTCTTTCTTTTTTTCAGGAATAGGTATTAATTGTTTGTACCAGATCGGAATTACGTAAAGATAAAAAGAATTATACAAAGAAAGAAAAAAAAATTGTTTTAAGTATTTGTATTATTGTTAGTATTTTTATCATTTGTATTTTATTAATTTATATTTTTATCATGTATTATTATAATCGAAATAAATTATTATTATTTAAATCATTTATTTTGCATGTTTTTTTTATAAATAAAAACTCAATCTCGATATATATTTGTAATTATAGCCACAATATTATCTACTTTCTCGAAAATAAACTTACATAATTTTAAAATATAAATGGCTTATTCTAGATAGCAAGCGCACGTCATTTGGACATCAAATCTCCTGCTTGAAATTTAATATAAATATAATGTACAAGATGTTTCTAAATAAGTTAGAAAAACTTTAAAAATAATTATTTGCTGAAAGTTAAAGGGCTTTTATATAAACATATACATTTCTCTTTATATTACTTCCTTGAAAAGTTACACTCCTGCTTGAAAGGGAAAAATGAAAATTAGATTTTTAAGTTTTTTTCTTAAATTTTAGACAAGTTAAAAAAGTGAAATTTAGTGAATATTATGCATTAACATAAAAAAGAATATTTATTAATATTTTTAAATTTTTCCATATCGTTATAAGGAAATTAAATTAACAATTTCTAATTAATTTTTTATTAGAACTTTTTCACGGAAACCGGAATGTGATCACTTTAGAATATGAAAACTTGATCCTTTTACAAAATTTTTTATATTTTTTTTATTTTTTCGTAAACTTAATAGTTTTCAAGAAAAGAACTAAAAATTTAATTTTTAACTCTTCTTTTAAAGAAGTGTGTAACTTCTCAGAGAAGGATGTAGGATATGTTTATATGCATGAAAACCCCTCTTTAATTTTCGACAAAAAATCTAATTCTTTACATTTGTTTAAAAACACATATATTGTACAATATGTGCAAAAAAAGAAGAAAAGAAAAAGAAAAGAAATTAAAACCAAGAGAAAAATGAAGAAGATAACATTGAAAAGAAAAAGGATATAAAAAAATAACACTACTAATAAAGAATAAAAATTTTCATATATTTCAAAAGTTCCGGGACCCTTCAATATTTACAAAACTAAGCATGGTAAAAAAATGTTTCAAATGAAACTTGTAGGACTTAAAATAAGGCATTTATTGGTGACCTCAACTTTGACCTAGGAGTCAAATTTAGAGGCCATTTTAAGGTCAACTTAATTTTTTTTAATGAAACCCTTTGTTTTTATTGCATATTTTTGTAGCTTATCTCGAGAACTTTCCAAAACACTATAATAAAATTATTTTTCATGGAGTACTCTTTGAGTTATAAAGGTTTGAAGCTAACAACTTTTTGACATAAAAAGTAAAATATCTTGTAAAATATTCAATTTTTGATAATGATGCCTTAATATTTTTCTGCATAGTATAGTAAGATCAATCAATTGGTATAAAGAAAACAGATAATTGTTTTAAAAGGAATATGTAATATTTAACATGCAGCTACATATTTTTTTTATAAACTATGTGTTTTTTACATCAATTGATTGAATATTATACTATGCAGAAAAGTATTAAGGTATAATTACTGAAAATGGAATAATATTTTACAATATATTTTACATATTATGTAAAAAAATTGTTAGCTTCAAACCTTTATATCTCAAAGAGTACAGCATGAAAAATAATTTTATTATAGTGTTTTGGAAAGCTCTCGAGATAAGCTACAAGAATATGTAATAAAAATAGAGGATTCCATTAAAAAAAAAATTAAGTTGACCTTGAAATAACATTCAAATTTGACCCCTAGATCAAAGTTGAGGTTACTAATAAATGCCTTATTTTGAGTCCTATAAGTTTTATTCGAAACATTTTTTTCTACCATGCTTAGTTTTCGAAATATTCAGGAATCTCACAACTAGTGGTACACCCTGTATAAAGACAGATTTTTATTTTTTTTTGTTTATTTTTTATTATTCATATAAGTATATGAATTGATGATGTGTTTTGATTTAATTTAGATTACATCAATTTCATTTTAATTTGTTAATTTAAAAACACAATATACACCTCCTTCATCTCGGCCAATAGAGCCACACGCGATGTTATTGCGACAATTAAGAAAGAAAATTTGGAAACTAAGGAATTTGTATCCTATGGTTGGGATCTCAGAAATTCTCCTTGTTCCTCTCTTAACTTCTCCTGTAAAGAAATAGGCGAGAAAAATATTGGTCCGAAAGTCGGCTGAATCGGGAATCGAACCCGAGACCTTCCGCTTGCCGGGCGACTGCTCTATTGGCCGAGATGAAGGAGGTGTATATTGTGTTTTTAAAAATCAAGGAGCCGACTTAATATTCTTATTATTGTTTGTTAATTTAGTTTGTTTATTTTATTAATTTAGTATAGTTTTAGTTTTTATTTTTTATAATTATTTATTTTTCTCGTTTTTTCAATTCTCAAACTTGTAAATGTAAACATTTTTCAAAATTTTTAAAGTTTTTCTTTTAAAGTTTTAAATTTTCAATTTTCTAGATTTTTTAGATTTAAAAATTTTTAATTTTAATATGTATTATTAATTTTAATAGGTTCTCAATTCTTAATTAATTTAATCCAATCTAAATACCATACAAGGCTAATTAATGTGATTTGCGTCATTGGTATTTTTGTTTTATTAAATTTCTTTGAGTTATTTGATGTATTAATTATCAATTAATTATTAGATGTAATTTAAAATTATAATTATAATTATATCTCTTAACTTTACACAAAAGCAACTATATAAAAACCGAAAGCCATCCAAAGCCATAAGGTATACGATTACGAAATAAAGAAAAAAATATATATGTATACGTAAAATAAAATATAATATTATATAAAATAAAATAATAAAATAAAAAAATTAAATAATATAATAAAATAATATAATAATAAAATAATAATAAAATAATAATAATAATAATATTAAATAATTAAATAATATATGTATGCTCGCGTATTTAATATTTCTCTGTTAAAATGCCGATCGATGAAACTATGGCAACATTGGGAAAACAAATCCCCACCATCAGTCAACTTGATACAGGTATTATGTCATAGGCAAAGCATTCCTTTTTCTTTTTCGACGTAATTTAGCGATCGTAAATTTACATGAGATTGAAATTGTGACATAATTGTGCGATTCACGCTCTAATCTACATCCGCGCTCTCGTCATCATACAGACTCTGAGGGCGATCGTCGAAGGACGCCTCGATGGACGTTCTTCGACACCGAGCATGGACATCAGAGACAGCAGCGATGAGGAGGACGAGAGAACGCGTGATTTCCCGGCGTTCGGTAAATTCGACGAGGCCATTGTGGTACGCAACGCCGAAGAAATTAAGAGCCCCGTAAGCCACAGACCCGTGCATTCCAGGAAAAACGGGAAAAACGATGCTAGCTCGAGCAAGTTGGAGGACAACTCGCCGTATAGCAGGAAACATGAATTTAAAAGGTGAAACCGCGATGCGAATTGCGCAAAAAATATATTGAGACTGGTGATGATAATTTATATATTAGCAAACGTGTCGATTATAAAATTACTTGAATTCTCATTTTCTACACGATTATTTTATTTTGCAATAATATCTCTCTTTCTTAGTATGAATATACAGGATGTGTAGACAAAGTCGAAACTCGGAAATATCTCGAAAAATATAAATTTTATAAAAAAATATTTCAGACAGAAATTTTTTTTTTCTTAAAAAACATGTTTTTTTTATACTAATTAATTTCTCTTATTATTTTATGCATAAAAGTATTAAAGTAGATCATCGAAAAATAAATATTTTACGAAATATAAATGTAAAATAGTGTATCAAAAAATCGAAACTCGGGAATATCTCGAAAAATATGTTTTATAAAAAATATTTTAAACAGAAATTTTTTTCTCTTAAGACATGTTTTTTTATATCAATTAATTTCTCTTATTATTTTGTGCATAAAAGTATTGTAGTGTAGATCATCGGAAAATGAACATTTTATACGAAATATTTCATAGATTATGTAAGATTATGTCAAATTAAAGTATAAAAATTCTCGTAAACTATTTACTTTCTAGTCATTTTACTTTTGTAATTTTTATGTTTAATTAATATTATGAAGAATCAATTTACATAAAAGAAATATATATTAAAAAAATACAAGATAACCTAGCTATCTTGATCTTGTAAAACGACATCATTTAAAATTAAACTAATAAAAGGCTAGTATATAAATATAGATCTTTTAAAAAAAGACCCTACATTTTATCTGAAACATTTATTTTTATGAAACATATTTTTTGAGATATTCCAAGATTTCGATTTTTTATACACCCTCTATAGATACAGATGTGATTTATATATATATGTAACATACAGATTTACATGCATATATACATATGGTAATATATTTTAATTTATGTGCTTATTTTAAAGATAAGAATATTTTCATGATTATAGTCTCATATATCTAGTGCATATTATATATCGAACACGAATAGATACTCGAACAGCGAGGTTGGCTTCGAGAAGTCGCTGGAAATCGGCAGCGATCCTTCAGACAGTGAAGAGAGTGATGATGATGATATAGAGAGTACCAATGCGGCAAAATCGATTGATCTGTACGATCCCAAGGAATTCGAGAATCTGGAAGCATCGACAGAGGTCAAAGAACTATTTCAAAATATAATAAGGCAAGTGCGGATTATTCGTATTTTTGTGTCCTGCTACTTATATGCATTTTTATCGCTAAAGACATTCCTTTTTTTATGTCAGAAATCTTCAGAAAGATTTTTGGCTTCGAGGATTATACACAGAGTGTACTATTTATATAATGCATTTTAATATATTTTCTTTAACTTTAATTTGTTTTTTATTAAAAACAATTGTGTTTTCTTAGTACCAATCGATTCTTCTCATTATATTTTGTGCATAAAAGTATTAAAGGAAGACGATCGAAAAACAACATTTTTCCGAAATATTTTATACAATTTATGTAAGGCTATGTCAAATAAAAATTTAAAATATCTCATAAACTATTTCACTTTTTTTAACCATCTTACTTTTATAACTTTTATATATAGGATATTATAAGGATCGATTTATATAACAAAATATAGTGATTTTATTTGAAAAGTTAAAGTGACCTTGATCTGACTTTGAAAAGGTCACTCAAGATTAAGTCTATATTTTCATCATGTGATCCCCTTCTAAACTATACTTTTGTTTAAAACATTTTCCTCTATGACGAATTAAAAAAGAGATATTAAAATGCATTATTTAAAATAGGATATACTATTTAGGGGGTGTCCTATTTTAATGTCCCACTCCAAATAACTTTTATTTTTGATTGTAGAAAAAACGTTTTAAATAAAAGTTGTATGGTTTCGAGGGGGACATAAGGTATGATTATCGAAAACTGAATATTTTACAAGATATTTTACATTTTATGTTAAAAAATTGTTACATTTAAACCTTTATAACTCAAAAAGTACTTAATAAAAAAATATTTTATTAAATGAAAATTATTATAGATAGTGTCATTTTTGACCGACACACAACTATTCAAGGTCAAACTAATGGTACTATCTTATATCCCTCTTGAAACCATACAACTTTTATTTGATTATGTCATTTTTTTCTACAATCAAAAATAAAATTTATTTGGAATGGGACATTAAAATGGAACACCCTGTATAGGTTTTTACCTTTAAAATTCGTATAGTTTTCAGTGCTTTGTGACATTTTTTCTTTTTTGCTAATCAATCTATTGAAAATGATCCAAAGAAAGGACTAAAATGCCCAAATTAAATTCAAATTAAATAGAAAAGTATTTAAAAACAAAGTTTGTTGCGCTTGCGTTGTTTATTTTTCAAAAATAAACAGTAAAACTAAAAAATTATAAACAAAATTTTTGCCATTATAATACTTCTCGATTAAATAATTCATCTCGGTCATCATAGGTACACGCCGCAGAGAATCGAGCTGAACTACAAATTGATACCGTTCATTCCCGATTACATACCGGCGGTCGGTGATATAGATGCCTTCATAAAAGTGCCGCGGCCGGATGGCATCGAGGATAAGATCGGTCTGACGGTATTGGACGAACCCTGTACCGAGCAATCCGATCCCGCGGTGTTACATCTGCAGCTTCGTAGTCATTCGAAAAGCGCCGGAGCAGCCGCCAGACAGGCGGTGGTCAAAAGAATCGAGGACGCCGAGAGAAACGTTAAGTCGATCGACAAGTGGATCGATGACATGAATCAACTGCACAGGAGCAAACATCTACCGGCCGTCCATCTGAACCGAGCGATGCCAGATATCGATAATTTGATGCAGCAGTGGCCACCGCAGGTCGAGGACAAGCTAAACGAATTGCAGTTGGATCTATCGAAGCTTGATTGCGATCTGCCACATCTGATCGACGTGGTCTGCAATCTTTTAGATATTCCCACGCGAGAGGACGCTAGATTAGAAGCCCTACATATTCTGTTTACATTGTTCTTGGAAGTTAGAAATGTCGAGAGCCGAAACTTTAGTTAATGTTAAAATCAGGGAGAGAGACTGCTTCTGTCATGTATGTACATCTATACATTGTTAGAACAATATTTTAAGGGGATTCTAAGCTAACCTAAGTTTCAGTCCTGTTTTATCGACAACATGAGATTAGATTCAGCTATAAATCTATTTATCGACTATACGGGTTGTTTTTTTATCTGAAATTAGAGCGCTTCTACATTTGTTAATATTAATACTTTAATTTGTGATGAATTTTTTTCTGTACAAGTATTAATATTACAAATGTGGAAGCGCTCTAATTTCAGGTAAAAAACAATCCGTATAGCCAATAAATAGATTTATAGTTTTCTAACCTCACATTTTGTCGATAAAACAGGACTGAAACTCAATTTTCTTCGTTATATTAGTCCAGATAGCAAACTGACATCATTTTAATGTTTAATAACGTCATTAGACGTCAAAATGACGCCATTTTGATGTCTAATGACGTCAGCTTGCTACTTTTGGATCACATACTAATTTTAATGTATTTTGATTTAGTGTATGAATTAGTGTATTTTTGATAATTAAAGTACAAATTATATAGATTATTGTATAGATAATATATACATCCATCTCGGCCAATAGAGTCAAACGCAATGTTATTGCGAAAATTAAGAAACAAGAAGATTATTGTATAGATTTTAAACTTCAATGAAAATATATTACATATATTGTTTGATTCAAAATATCCTTTCCTTAAAGTGGATGCTAAGTCAATTACTCGAATATATCGAAGCGTTGAAGCCTCTTTTTCTGCGATGCTGATTGGATGCTGGTTCGTTGCAATAAATGGGTGCATTCGTTTATGCAGCGATTAGCGCATCCACTGCGTCTATTATCTGCGAGTCACGTGACATCATTTATCGAACGATCACCTGCGTGAATTGACTGCTCAGATTGTAATTGGAGTGCGTAAGTAAAGAAATTTTAAATAAATATGAATTAACTTAGAAATAAATATTTTTTATCGGCTCTCAATATAAACAATATAAATATGATGGTTTCTAAATCGGCCTAAGACCCATAGCACGAAAAATTACAAAAATTAATTATTCGGAACTGTATCTCTTGGTACGAGATTACTAAAGTTCCATATATTAATTAACCTCGAACTTACATATGGAGAAATAGGCGCGAAAAATATAGGTCCAAAAAGTCGCTGAAGCGGGAATCGAACCCGTGTCTTTCACTTTCCGGGCGACTGCTCTTACCACTAATAGCTATTTAGACTTTTCGGACCTATATTTTTCGCGCCTATTTCTCCATATGTAAGTTCGAGGTTAATTAATATGAAACTTTAGTAATCTCGTACCAAGATATACAGTTCCGAATAATTAATTTTCGTAATTTTTCGTGCTATATGGCTTTTAGGTCAATTTATAAACCATCATATTTATATTGTTTATATTGAGAGCCGATAAAAAATATTTATTTCTGAGTTTATTCACGCCTGGCCTAATCACGGCGTTATTTACTAACATCTACTAAAAAGGCAAATGAAAAATATAGGATCGAAAGAGTCTGAATAGCTTAGTGGTAAGAGTAGTCGCCCGGAAAGTGAAAGACGCGGGTTCGATTCCCGCTTCAGCGACTTTTCGGACCTATATTTTTCGCGCCTATTTCTCCATATGTAAGTTCAAGGTTAATTAATATATGGAACTTTAGTAATCTCGTACCAAGAGATACAGTTCCGAATAATTAATTTTCGTAATTTTTCGTGCTATGGCTCTTAGGCCGATTTAGAAACCATCATATTTATATTAAATATGAATTATTATTTGAATAAATATAATAAAATTTTTAAATAGGTTGAAGGTTCTGACATATGACGTGTGCACATAACATTTTTAGACAGTGATGACGGTAGGATTGAAATGTTGCTGAATGTAGACTTCTCAGATTTTTCCAAACTTACTGGGGACGAAGTAGCTTGATAGCTAGGAATGACTGTAACAGAATTGCATCTTTATACAAAGCACATTTTTTTTAAACAGATTACTTTAAATTTATATTCTTGATAAAAGTGCATTTTTAAGTTAATTGGATCGTAAATATAAATTAACAGACTTCATAATTTTATTGTATTACTTACCTTGCATTACTTTTAGTTTTGTAGGATCTATTTGGAGGAGTTATTCTCCACAGATCTCAGGTTTCGGGTTCGATTCCCGATTCAGCGATTTTCGGATCTATATTTTTCTCTTGCATTCATTTATTTATTTTCCGTAGGGGGGTTAAAGGGGTATTGAAATTAAATCGCAAAATATGAGATTATTTCATATTTAAAATCTTGGCCGTGTCCAAGTAAAAATTTGGTGCCTTGTGCACCGGTATTTAATTCTAACGAAAAATTATTTAGTTTCGTTAGGATAACGCATTGTCATCCGCGATTTGGCTCTTGTTGCCCGTCTTATACGTTAAATTTATATTTATATTACAGAGCCTTGTTAAAACTCTTATATTTAATTATTTTCATTTACTATTTTATTAAATTAAGATTTAGAAAGAACAGGGCCAACTATAACGAGCATATTAAATTAGTGAGAGATGTAATGTCAACACATAATTAATTTATTTCTTAGTAAATACAATGATAATAAAAAAATAAACGTTTCGGCTGTTACCTCAGCCTTTTTCAGTAAATATAAAAAAACGATAAAAAAATTCTTTTAAGTAAAATTATGACATATTACGCATTAGAGTCTATTTTTTAATGAACCTTTGGTTTGATGAGTCAATAAATTTAAATTGGATTACGCTTATATATATATCATTTATTAAAATAGATATTGTTTCTAATCGGCTAACCATTTTTTAACTGAGATGGTAAACTTTTTAATTATGTCAAAAAACATGTAAACGAGCTCACTGTTGTTAGTAGAACAAGTTGACAGTCCATTCCACGTCATCAATCCTTTTGAACATTATTAGCTGAAAATATCGTCAGAACCGCTTGATATGAGAATTGAAATATTTAGATGTTATCCAGCATCAAAAAGTTAGTCCCCATCATCAAGCATATTTCCGAGTAAGTTCATCATTGTAGTGTATTTTACCGTGTTTGTCTAAGTATATTTTTATTTTTTTGTATATTAATTTATATTAATAAGTTATTTTTTATGTGAAAGATCTTGATTATGATTAGAATTGCTTACTTAAAATTGATGAGTAGTCAAGATTCCGCCAAGTCAATGTGTTCATTATACAGAGTCACAATATGATGTGTCGAATTCAAACCGTGACTCCTATTATTATTACTATTTATTTATAAGACAATTCTTCTAGAATGTCAAAATATGACTCGTCAAGCATATCGGTATCTTTTTTTAAGTTTAGACCGTTTTTTTGTTCCTTTATATGAATCATTTCAGAAACATTTCTCTTCTGAAAATTAGATTCGGAATCTAAAATTTTTATGTCTTCCCAATTAAATGAGTGTTGGTAATTAAGAATATGTTCCGAGATGACCGAGTGCTTTGACGAATCTAACTTTATATTATTTACATGTTCTTTAACTCTCGTTTTAAGTTGTCTTTTGGTTTGGCTAACATATGTCGCATCGCAATCGTGACATGAGATCTTATAAATAACATTGGAATTAGTTGAAAATTGATTTTTATCTTTATGAACCTTGATAAAACGATTGAGTTTATTAAGACAACGATAACCTATGGTCATTTCTGTTTTTTTGATAGATGATGCGATTTTGTCAGAAATGCTATTCACATAAGGAATAACAAAGAAATTCTTTTTTTCATTATCTCCAGCTATTTCAGGAACCTTAGTAATATTATTGTCATTAGTCAAGATATTTAGTTTGGAAGTAATAAGATACTTAATTCTTTGATTAATAGTGGAGAAAATAAATTCTAAAGGGTAACCGTTGTTACGTAAAATAGTTATGATTGAATTTATATTCTTCTTATGAAATTCTGGATGTGAAAGAAGAAGAGCTCTATCTACTAAGTTATAAACGATGCCTTTTTTGGCAGAAAGGATGGTTAGAGTAATAGGAAAGAGTTCTTCCTGAAAATGTTTTTTTCTGAAACCAATCAACAAAAATGGTATTGTTAATTAATTTCAATGATACATCTAAGAAATTTAAACAACGGTTATCCTCATATTCCAATGTGAATTTGAGTCTGTCATGGTATTTGTTAAAAGAATCCACAATTAAATCAACCTTCTCCTCAGGAACTGTCATAATGATATCATCAACGTATCTATAATAAAATATTATCATTGTATTTACTAAGAAATAAATTAATTATGTGTTGACATTACATCTCTCACTAATTTAATATGCTCGTTATAGTTGGCCCTGTTCTTTCTAAATCTTAATTTTATAATATTACACGAGCCTTGTCTTTAAATATCTAATTGTATTCTTTATTAAATACTATTTTATTATTCTTATTTTATTAATTTATTTTACTTATATTTATTTTAATTTACTTTTTATATTTTAATTAATTTAGTAAACTATAAACATACAGTTTTATAACTAGAATGTAAATATAAAATCATTTTATAAAAAAAAGTTCTATGATAAAATGTATAATGTAAATATATAGTTTAGTCCATTAAATTTACTATTGTATATTCTTAGTGTAAAATTCATAAAATAATATATTATATTATATTTTGTCTTAAAATAAAAAATTGATATTTTGGAAATTTTAGGCATATTTTAAAGAGTTTATTAAAAATGCATTATTTTTAAAATAGCATTGTTTAATATAATTTTCAAAAGCTTATTACAAAATTTGTTGGTTCAATTTTAGATGGCCTTCTGCGAAAAAACTTTATGACAAGCAGTCTAAAGAATATGAGCAAAAGGAATCTGGAGAAAGCAAACAGAAAAAAAAGAAAATCTTTAATTTTGTGAAAACAGGCATGAATTGTGCGAGACAATTACGGAAAATTTTATCTTAATCATCGTTATAGTAATTTGATAGACAATTTTACAGATTTGCCAAGGATATATAATTTAAAACAATTTTTGTCTGTTCATGAGATACATAAACCTAAAAATTTAATAATCAACTTTTTATTACTTTTCTCCGATCAAACTGACATGAATTTTGATTATAAGTTGCATAATGATTCGACCATCGGTTCTAAAAATTTTATATTATGTTTTTTTTTTTTTTCAATGACGAGCTTAAATACTTGCTTAATGAACAATCTTCACGGTAAGATTTTCATTATAAATTATAAATTAAAGTGGTAATAAATTTTATAGATTAATAAACTTATTGCATAGTTAATATGTCAATTTTTCAAAGGAATTAGTTGCGATCTAAACGAAAAATATTGCAAAACAAAATTATTTCACTATATGAGGCAATCTTTGGTGAGGAGGAAATGGAGGATCTATAAAGGACGATCTCCTGAAGAACAGCTTTTTGAAAGGATTGCTACTATCATGGCACAATGGGCTCAACCTGAAAAGTATGTTTTTTACTCGGATGTACAAGCGTCATTAGATAGTATTGCACAAGATGTATTAAAGTGTCTCAGACAAAAATATCCCGATTATTCGATATTCTTGACGTCCACTGAAACTGTTTCCTTTTGGAAAAACAACAATATCGACGATAATTATTGGAACGAAACAGAAGGAACTCAGATTATAGATACACTCCAGGAATATATATGTAACAACTTAAACTTTCGATCATGTCCGTTAAATAAATATGACAATAAGTTGGAATACATGTGCATAGACTATGTGAGTTATTATATTATAATTATATTATTTTATTATTATATTATAATTATTTGATGTGAGTTAGAATTTATGATTTTATAATTAAGTTTTGTTTGCATTCCTTTAATCCAATTTAACAATGTTTTTTTAGTTTACTTGAAAAGGATCACAAGCAGTGATCGAAATGTTGTAACTTTTTCACGTAATAAAATAAGCCAGTTTTTGGTCAATAAATTAACTATTCATATAATTATTATCTCTATAAATCATATGAATAATCATATCACGTTTTTCTTGTTATTATCTCTATGTTTGTTATATCCTAAAAATGTACTCGCATCAAATAATTTCTGTATTATAATTTCCGACACAGGTCTTAAAAAATAAATATGGTCATGGATTAATTTTATTAATAATATATTACAGCGTTGCTAGGAGGCTTGGTCTACGTTGCAATATATTAAAAGTTATTAAGCCGTCTGGTATCTACGGTAAAACTATATGCTTATTTTGGAAATGGAACTAGTAAGTGCAACGTAACATGGTATTTTTGGTATTCTTATGATATACACACATAGATAATTTTTTATTGTTCACAGTGTCACGATTAGTTTAGAAAATGTAAAATGTTTTAACGAAATTCTTGAAAATTGGACAGAGCATCCTATAGAAGAACTGTTAATTAATGGGAACACTTTTAAAATAACAGCTAGTGAGGTTGACAATTATTCATATATTAATTTCTATTAATTTTTACATTAATTAATGTTTGTAAATATATGAGTCAATAAAACAGACTTTATATATAATTTTAAAGATTATACAATCTATTATTTTTTTATATTTTATTCTTTCTTTTTCAGATATGGAAAATGTTGATAAACATGTTTGACAATACGATATACCACATGATAAAGTTTCTAAATTTATTCCACGACACATTAATTGTGTATGGCCTAGGGAACAGGTATACCAGGAGTATATATATATATATATATATATATGTATATACATATATGTGTTGCATATTAATATATAATGTTGTGCCTCTGGTGAGACACGAGGGATTTTTCGGGTCTCAACCGTTGAAAGGATGGGGACTCTAAGGATCGGCGGGCGTCTCCACTTTTGACGAACTCCAATTGTTTAGTTGAATAAATCTTTTGTTTCTCTTATTTCTCTTGAGTTGATTTAATCCTGAATTCAGCGAGTTGTACTTTCGGTTAGGTTCGAATTAGCGACTTGTCTCTCTGGATTTTTGTTAGCGACTGCTTTCATCGCCTCGCTCTCGTCGTATATCGTTGTGAGCGTACGAGTACTTTTAAGTCGCTTCGTAACCCTAATTGAAAATCCAATAACGCTTGTTTTTGGATCGTTTGTAAAATAGTGCGTTTCTCTGAGCTCGCATGGTTCTCTCCCTCTATCATTGAATCGTATAAATTTATCGCGAGCTGGTCGACGCGTTGCCCGAAACTTTGTGCTGTCTCATTATATTTCTGCTTTAGTGAATTAAATTCTAGTTGTAAGTGGGCAGTACTTTGCTTGCTTTGATATGCAGTTTCTAGTTGTTGTTTTAATTCTTCAAACGTTTGTATGTCTCGCGTTTCGAAATCTTGCATGGCTTTACCCTTTAATTTAGTAAATAGTATGCCTTGTATCAGAGACTCTTCGTCTCCGGGGTGTATGTTTTGCATGATATATGTGCATGCGTTCAGAAATTCTTGTAGACGGTGTCGCGATGTACCGTCGAATTCGGGTATCATCATTCGCGCTTCTTTTAGAGACATATATTGTCGTGCAGTACTCCGTCGATTTCGTACGTCGCGCTCAGTGCGTCCGTAAGTCATACGAGGCTCGTAATCGGACTCCCGTCGTTCGTCTGTATGTGTGTATGCCCGTGCGGCTTCTATCCTATCCGTACGTGTGTTTACTGTATGTAGCTCTGCATGTATAACTTGTATTATATTAAGCATTTGGGAAGTTTCCCTGGGCACTATGACGGAGGGTTGTTGTGACGCGGCGTCTAAATTCTGTCCCATTTGGGTAAGGGTTTGTCGGAGTATGCTTATTTCGGCATTTATCGCGGCTGACGGAATAATCACGTTCGCGTTTGTATTTTCTGCCATATTCATTTTGCTATAAATTTCTTCGGGGTCAAATATTTTGCTGTCGTATGACGTTAATGAAAATTCTCTCCGCGATGATACTCTACTCGGAGTTCGGCTGATATACGGTCGCAATCGACGCGGTTCGTCTTGATCGAGTTACTTGAACGGAGTCGCTCCAATTATGTGGGAATATACTCGCGTCAAAACTAGTAAACGGAAATTCTCGTTTGTTTATTACGTTCGGAGGTAACTCGGTATTATTTTCGTTTGACAAGTCGTTGTCTAAATTTCTACGAATGTTAACCTTATTGTTAACCGTACTATATTTATAACTATTGTTAACCGTACGGGTGTACTATGCAACCACTATTGGTTTTTAATCGCTTGTCGGGGTGTTTCGTCACCTTCCGACATTCACGCAATCAAATAAATTCGGACTTACAGTATTAGGGCTCGCATCGTTACGCTTTACACGGCTCGGCTGCGGCTGCTGTAACTCGATCACTCGTGGGCTGATAACAGCTGCTCCTTGTTGGTGCGCTGTCCGTGAGGTTGTCGTAGGTCAGCGTTGTCCTTGGGCGTTGGCGATTCCTTTCGGGCCTCAGTTGCTCATCGCTCGTAGTACTGCTTGTGTTGTCCGTTCTCTCTTTCTTGTCGTGGCTTCTGCTTGTTTCCGTCAGTGTTACTGACGTGCCCGTCTAACACTTTTTATAATTTTATGTGTTTTTACAGGTCTTCGCCGCTGTGGGGATTTTGGAGACGACGTCTATCCTTCGGTTGAGATCCCACCGCTGCCATCAATTGTTGTGCCTCTGGTGAGACACGAGAAAATTTTCGGGTCTCAGCCGTTGAAAGGATGGGGACTCTAAGGATCGGCGGGCGTCTCCACTTTTGACGAACTCCAATTGTTTAGTTGAATAAATCTTTTATTTCTCTTATTTCTCTTAAGTTGATTTAATCCTGGATTCAGCGAGTTGTACTTTTGATTAGGTTCGAATTAGCGACTTGTCTCTCTGGATTTTTGTTAGCGACTGCCTTCATCGCCTCGCTCTCCATTCGCGGAGGTCTCCTGTCTTTTCCACATCTTTTGGGGAAGATGTAGAAAAGCTCTCTCATTGGCTAATTTATTCACGCGTTTTTTATCTAGGTGCAAGCGAAGCAGGTTAACTCTTTGCTTGCGATTCGCGGTTTCCGGCGTGTCGTTTATTTTCTGTCGCGTTTGCGTCTTCTCGCGATAAGCGCTTCGCGAGAGCGTGAGAACGTTTCTCAAACGATTATATAATGCCGACTTACTAATTTATTATTAATATGATATTTAATATAATATAGTTATAGTCATTCGGACTATAACAATAATATCTCTGAGATTTCTCTATGATAACGCACGTACAATTACTATTACATAAATTACATATTATAGTTAATTATTATTTTACAATTACGTATTGTAATTTAATGTATTAACGCTACTAAAAGAATCTATTAAGGAATCAATTTACAAGAATAATTATTTAATGTCTAAGTTTGCACTTTCCAGGTCCACATTTACCTTAAAAAACTAGAGCAGTTAAATATAAGTTGGGAGAATATAAAATTTGCGGTCGGAATGATCGTAGAACATAGTAATGATGAATTTCAAATTAATTATACCAGTGTGATAATTCAAAGTAGAACCTAATCCTGACACCAATTTTACACAATTTAACAATATAATGCCATTCATTTCCTGTCGTAATTATAAGTTCGCAAAGCAACAAATAAATTACATAATTCTTACTGAAAATAATGAAATATGTCTTGTGGAAGAAGGTATGAATTTCATCATTAAGACGCGTTTTTATTTAAAATGATATTTGTTTATTTTACGTGTCCATCTTTTTGTACACAATATAAATTAATATTTTATTAAGAGTTTAACTAGGCTCTGTAATATAAATATAAATTTAACATATATAAGATAGGCAATAAGAGCCAAATCGCGGATGACAGTGCGTTATTCTAAACGAAACTAAATTTTTTCGTTAGAATTAAATACCTGTGCACAAGGCACCAAATTTTTACTTGGACACTGCCAAGATATACAATTGGAATAATCTCTACAAGAGATTTTTAATTCCATGTATCCCCTATTCCCCCTAAAGAAATAAAGTGCGAGAGAAAAATATAGATCCGAAAGTCGCAGAATCGGGAATCGAACCCGAGACCTTTCGCTTGCCGGGCGACTGCTCTTCCAACTGAGCTATTCAGATCCTTTCGATTCTATACTTTTCTCTGTTATATATATTAATGTTGGTAAATAAACGCCTTTAAGCCAGCGTGTATAAATTAAGAGTTTAACTAGGCTCTGTAATATAAATATAAATTTAACATATATAAGATAGGCAATAAGAGCCAAATCGCGGATGACAGTGCGTTATTCTAAACGAAACTAAATTTTTTCGTTAGAATTAAATACCTGTGCACAAGGCACCAAATTTTTACTTGGACACTGCCAAGATATACAATTGGAATAATCTCTACAAGAGATTTTTAATTCCATGTATCCCCTATTCCCCCTAAAGAAATAAAGTGCGAGAGAAAAATATAGATCCGAAAGTCGCAGAATCGGGAATCGAACCCGAGACCTTTCGCTTGCCGGGCGACTGCTCTTCCAACTGAGCTATTCAGATCCTTTCGATTCTATACTTTTCTCTGTTATATATATTAATGTTGGTAAATAAACGCCTTTAAGCCAGCGTGTATAAATTAAGAGTTTAACTAGGCTCTGTAATATAAATATAAATTTAACATATATAAGATAGGCAATAAGAGCCAAATCGCGGATGACAGTGCGTTATTCTAAACGAAACTAAATTTTTTCGTTAGAATTAAATACCTGTGCACAAGGCACCAAATTTTTACTTGGACACTGCCAAGATATACAATTGGAATAATCTCTACAAGAGATTTTTAATTCCATGTATCCCCTATTCCCCCTAAAGAAATAAAGTGCGAGAGAAAAATATAGATCCGAAAGTCGCAGAATCGGGAATCGAACCCGAGACCTTTCGCTTGTCGGGCGACTGCTCTTCCAACTGAGCTATTCAGATCCTTTCGATTCTATACTTTTCTCTGTTATATATATTAATGTTGGTAAATAAACGCCTTTAAGCCAGCGTGTATAAATTAAAAGTTTAACTAGGCTCTTAATTTATACACGCTGGCTTAAAGGCGTTTATTTACCAACATTAATATATATAACAGAGAAAAGTATAGAATCGAAAGGATCTGAATAGCTCAGTTGGAAGAGCAGTCGCCCGGCAAGCGAAAGGTCTCGGGTTGGATTCCCGATTCTGCGACTTTCGGATCTATATTTTTCTCTCGCACTTTATTTCTTTAGGGGGAATAGGGGATACATGGAATTAAAAATCTCTTGTAGAGATTATTCCAATTGTATATCTTGGCAGTGTCCAAGTAAAAATTTGGTGCCTTGTGCACAGGTATTTAATTCTAACGAAAAAATTTAGTTTCGTTTAGAATAACGCACTGTCATCCGCGATTTGGCTCTTATTGCCTATCTTATATATGTAAAATTTATATTAATATTTTATTTTATTCTATATATTTGTTTATTTTATTATACATTGGTTATAATTTCATTATTATTTTATTTCGTTTCTTTTTTTTTAATTTAGTTATTTTATTTGTTATATTTCTTATTTTATTATTTTTATTTTATATATTATTTTGTTTATCTTAGATATTATAGATTAATTTTTTATTTATATTTTTATTTTAGACACTATAAGTTTAACAACGCCGAAAAGGATCGATAATAGCGAAATCGGTCGTTACTTTTGTAAATTTGAAGGCACACATTACGTACCAACTGAAATGCTGGCAAAAGTTTACCCTCAGGATGCTGCTATAACTAAGTGTGTGTGTATGTATTTGTAAGGACTTTTCTCAAAAAATGCAACGCAAAATAAATAAATTTTCTTTTAAATTACATCTTGCAAATATATGTACGATTATTATTAATTTTATAATTACATTTTACTAGCACATAATCAGTGGGAAATAACTATAAAACATGAATTATATATATATTGATTCTTTTTATAACAATATTAATATAATTAGTTGTATAAATTAAAATTAATGTAATATCAATTTTTATAAAAACGTACAGTCGATAAAGAATAACACACTATAATGGAGATCGAGGCAAAAAATAAAAATATGTAAGTGTTTGCAATTTAACTAATATTAATTATATCTAATAAAATCCGTATAAAAATTTAACTGTACGCTATTGTTAACATAGATTGAACATTAATTATTTCCGAGCACCGAAATTAATACAAAGGACATGGACATATTAGTATATTTTACATTGCTAACAAGACAACTATAGCTTTAAGATTAAATATATAGACTGTTATTATATGTAATTATATTAAATTTAGCGATTGAGAAGTCACAAGTAAGTGACGAAACGTCTTGCACGAATTTATTGTAAATTTTATATTTAAATACAGTAATTTTACATAGTTATCCATAATTGCTCGTGTAAAAGTCTTTTCCTATTGTATTAATTTTTATTTGATACGAGCTTGATTATCATATTGTTTTAATTTATAAAAACATTTCTGTATACCATCAAGACACAGAGTGTTAAAAAAAAAGATAAAATATTTTAAAGGGATTCAATATGCCTAAAAACAAGTCGAAAAGTCTTAATAAACAACATGAGTCCGCAACTTAACCGCTTTTGAGTTATTTTTAATTTAATTATTTTTATATTTTTTTATCATTTTTATTTTTTGTTTAAAATGTTTATTTTTATTATAATTAGTATTTTACCTTATCTTAAAGAAGATGTTCAAAATGACTTCCTTCCATGTCTATGCAGACCCTGTATCAAAAAATTAAATTAAAAATATCTCAAAAACGGTTTATTTGTGGACTTATGTTTATCAAGACTTCGACTTGTTTTTAGGCATATTGACAGACTCTTGTAAAGACTTGTCGTTACCGGTGAATATACGTAATTAACGCCTCTCTTTATTTTAATTCCTGACTCGTACGTCTAATAATTCCTCGCGGCAGTTAAACTGCATTAATTTGCAAAATGTAATTAAAAGCATAAGTTAAATAAGGTTTATATAGCTATTTGTTGATAGTTATAAATTATCGAAATATGGCTTCCGGTTCCGGTGAGAGTGTGAGTGACAGGTGTGTGAAAGCGTGGCAGGTATTTGTGAGGAAAGAGTGAGAAAAGGGGTGAGGAGAATAGGAGATAGGAGGTGAGAGGGCGTAGGAAAAAGAGGAGGATAGATTGAAAGGATATGATATTATAAGGATTGTAAGGAGTTAGAAAATAGAAAGCAGGAAAAGGTGAGACACGTGGACACGTAGGGTGGAATTCATAGATGTTGCTTAAAATCTGTCTTAAGATAGTCTTCGCCAAGATGAACTTAGCGTCCAAAATTATCTTGAGAATGTCCTATATGCACAAACGAGTCTTGAAGAATCAGGTTAAAGCTTAAGACTGTCTTAGTAAAGTTCATTCTTAAGCATCCAACTTCGGAAATATTCGGAATTCCCTAAAATTTGACCAATGACATTTCAATATCTAAAAGTATACATAGAGAAACGTGTGTCTTCGCTGTCATCAGAAATACATTGTCGAGATTCTAATAATATTTTATAATATGTGACAAAGAAATGGAATTGGCAGATATAAAAATTAATCATGAAATCGAAATATGTAAACTTAAAAAAGAACGAGAACAGTTTATTAATAAAATGACGATTAAAAAGTTGTTCTTAGAAAAAAAAGAGTTACAAGAAAGAGCTAAATTAGCGAAATTTCGTGCTCAAAGAGAAATGTAAGTAATGACTTTTTCCCTTCAGTTATAAATAAAATTTTAATTTAAAAAGGTTTTTTAAATTCTAGGGGAGAACATTATATCTCAGATGATGAGTAGAAAAAAATTTCTAAAATATTCGCTGTGAATACTAAGTTATAAATAATGTTATTACATTAATTTTTATTATTACTAAATTATTGTTTATAATTACACTTATTTTATTTTATTACATTATATTTTTAATTTAAAAAGTTAAATAAGACTGAGAATACTAGTCAAAAGAAGTGAAATCTAGTTTTAAAAAATTATTATTTTTTTATATTATGTTATCAGCATTATATTGTGTTATGTTGTATTTTATTTTGAATTATGTTAAGAGTATTATATCATATGATTATCTTAGTATTATATATTATACATATTATTAACAAATATGTAATACAAAATAAAGTGTAATAAAATGACAAAATAAAATTAATGATTTACTCTTTGATTTCTAAAGAATTTTTTAAATACATTGAGGCTGCCAGAATTTACTTAAAAATTATAGATAACGGACCTCTAACTTTTCATTGACGCTATGATGATCATGACTAACATTATCAAAACATTTTGGAAAGTTTAATATAATAGAAAATGCAATCCAATATAAGATTTGAAATATATAGTTGGATTATAACGTAAAAAATGTATGAATGGAACATAAAATTAAAAATTAATATCATTACATTAAGGTTAACGAAATAAATCTCGAACTATGTTTTGCCTGACAATAAAACCATCTCCAGGTTGCTGAAGTTCATTGTAATAAAGCTCTTCATTATCTTCAATTATTACATCAACTTCTGGTTCTTCTGGAAGCACATCTTTAAAATATAGTGCTAAATTATGTAAAACTGCACACGCTGATACGACTCCAGTACATGTTACAAGTTTTAAAGACAATCCTCTTGATAAGCAAGGAAATCGTCTCTTCCATACTCCAAAAGTTCTTTCAACAACCATTCGTGTTCTTGATTGAATTTCATTATATCTTCGATAAAATTTTTATTATTAATATATGTATGTATATTAAAAAACCAGAAACTTCAAAATTTATTAAATTTCAATTTTTAATATCTAACTTTTGTTCCTCTTCATTTTGAGGATTTCTGAATGGTGTTAACAGAAATGTAAGAGCAGGATATCCAGAATCTCCAACTATCATTCCTGTTAATTCACGTTGTTGATACCGCATAAAAATTCTAGAATTTTGGAAAATTCTGCTATCGTGTTCCCTTCCTGGCCATTCTGGGACGAGATCTAAAAATTCCATGCGTGGTCCCACGATAGCCTTATACAATAAATAAAGAATAAGACAATAAAAAACAAATAAATATTAGTAAAATAGAAACATAATTTTTATTACTTTACCTGGACATTTAAAGAGAAATATCCTTTTCTATTTCTATACATTTCAGCCAGTCCCCCGAAATTATTACTTAATAATCTAATGTGTGTGCAGTCTATTGCCCCATCAATGTAAGGAAGTCCAATAGCTCCAAATCTCCCATATCCTAATTTTTTAAATAATCTGCGGTTTTCTTGTATAGCTCCTTCATGTGTCACAAATTTAACATGACTATTCAAATAAGATGCTAATATCATAGTTACTCTAAATATAATTCTACTAATTGTTGGTTGTGGTAATTTCATAAGATCTCCGTTTACTTTCTAAAACATAAAATATATAATACAATTATTTATGTCTCTTTTTAAAATTAATGATATGTAATATAGAGAATTTACTTGAAAACTGCTGGTAGCATAATATCTTAAACAAATAAGCAATTGAATAACTGGTTCAATAGGAAGACCTCGATTATCAGGCTTTGTTAAACCATTTATAACCAAAGGCAATAATCCATGCATAACAGAATTTTTTGAGAATCTATATCTTATATGAAATTCGTGTTCACGATAAGCTGTAAATGGATTAATTGCATCTCGCACATATCGTTTTTCACGTATTATGCCAATTTCTTCATTTTCGTCATTTTCTTCATCAGAAGAGGAATCAGAACTTTCAAACAAGTTAATGTCAAACTGGCCCAATATATTAAATTCCATAATACCTTTAATGTAAATATAAAACCTCAAAATAATAAATATTATGTAAATTTGTAATAAATGTATTATAAATAATTAATTAATATCGTATATAGGATTAAATGTTTATTTTTAAAATAATTTTAATATAATTGATACATAACTATTTTATTTTATATAACCTATACAGCACTTTATTTCACAACCGTCTTAAGTCTACAATTTACTGGACTTCATTAAGACCTGCTCAAGATATGGTTTGAGTCATGATTGTGCATCTAATAATTTTAAGTCGTACTTAAGATTTGACTATGAAACAGAATTGCTTCATTAAGCATGATCTCAAGTTTCAGTTTGAAAATCGGTCTTTAGAAATGTTCATGAAACTATCACGATCTTAAGCACTAGCTTAAGGTTGTCTTGAAACTCAAGAAACATCTATGAATTCCGCCCGTAGACACGTGGAAGAAAGAGAGTAGGTGTAGAGAGCAGGTGCAGATAGAAAGATAGGGAATTCAATAGGGAATTCACTAGGGAATTCACTAGCGAGTTGGAGCGAATTAGAACATAGAGTAAGTGAATCAAAGAAAGAAAGCGATAAGAGAAAAATGAATAAGGAGAAAAAGAATGGTAGTGAAGAGAATAGTAGAGATAGGAGGATAGAGACTACTAGAGATAGGATGGTTGAGGAAGGGGGAAAGAAGGGAGATGAGGAGGAAGTAAAAAAGAAGGCAGGGAGGCCGAGAAGAGTAGATGAGTTCCCAGGGAGAAATGGCATGTTGAATAGACGTCGAATCGATGTCTTTTATATGCGTCTAAGTAAGATCTAATTTGACGTCTATATAGACGGACAAATCTTTGAATTTCGACACCATCTAGACGTTAATATAAACGTCTATAAAATGTCTAATAGACATCTAAATAATTGATGTAACGGCTGTATTCAGCAGAAAAAGTAGCGTTGCAAATGTTGTAAAATTGATGAATCTAATAATGGCGTATGCTTTTAGTTTTGACTAAACCTAAGCTCATACAATACTCAAATTCAATAATTTTACAACAGACACTTCTACTTTCTCTGCTGCGAACGCAGGCAATAAGTGCAGTATTACGTACACCATTCAGTGAACATTTTATTTTAATTCTAAGTATATTTTTATTGTAAAATATAGAATAATGTAATATTCTAATCAAAACAAATTGCTCAGTAAACATTCATTGAATTGTAATATTGGATGCATGCAAATATATTTTCTTTAGAAAATTTACATTACCTTTTTAATTTACGAATGAAAAAAATAGAACCAACACTAAAATTATTTGGATCTTGGTATTTAGATTGTTATACATATTTATATAATTGAAACTGAAAGGATGGAAAAGACACTTTAGAAAATAATTTTATATGTATTATTAACCTTATATCTATTTTTTATTAATATGTATTGGACAATTTCAGTACAGGATAATCTTTGTTGACATACTGAAAACTCCAGTATATGCCATCTTATCGTGTCTTGATATATATATATATTATAAATATATATATTTTTATATATGTATATATATATATACATTCTTTATTAGTGTACATATATATTCTACATATACATACTTCAACTAAAAACTTTTATATGTAATAATTCAAATCAAATTTAAACCTGACAATGTCTTATCAGTTACATAAATAAAAAATAAGACAAATAATATTCAAAATAAAGCAGCAATATCAAAAATACAATAACAAAATAAAAATGACATAAGACTTCGCAAATTGCACATGAATAGAGATCATATTTCACATTCAAGAAAAAAAAATAATTAATTGCATTTTATGACGAATATTAAATGACCTCTTCCCTTTAATGGGAAACCTCCCCCGTGCTAATTTGTATCGAGAAAAAGACCTTGTAAAGAGTCGTCTAAGAATAATAAGATATTACAACGCAATATTCTCGTATGCGAGCACTTTTTACCTCTGCTTTTCTTATACATTAGATTCTGTTAAAAATAAAAAAATGAAATTGCACATTTCATTGCTTACGCCCAGCAGCGTTTCGTAGCCAATTTCTGACTGCATTTAAGGCATCTTCCAAATCACTGGTAGGAAATTTTAATAGCATAACTCCTAGAAAAAAAAGAAATATTTATGAATTTTTTCTACAATAAACTTAAGATGAAACAAAATATTGAAAGAAGATAAAATACCTTGAAATAATTCCCATAGTTTCAGTTTCTTAAATGGCCTTTTATTAACTTTAGCCTTTGAGGATTATGACCATCAAAGTTGAATTGTTTCGCTAAGGAATTAGTCATCAATTTGGTCATAAGTCTTGATGCTACAATTTTTTCATTATCACCTAACGGCAAACTCTTCAAATAGTAACACTGTAAAAAATATAAACACCGGGAAAATCATTAGCACCTCTCTTTGTCAACGTTACACACACACACACACACATTTATTTATTTATCACTCATGTTAATAAATAAAATATACTTGTATGATATATTTAAAATATAAGAAGCATAGCACAAATAATGTTAAAGAATTATTATAATAACTATAATAAAAATTGTAATAAAAATATATTAGGTTATATAAGCATATAAAATATTACTTACCGCTGCCGACAGATTTACATCTTTAGATAAAAATTTGTCAAACTCTTCGAGATTTTCATATCATTAAAGGTAAAGGAGGTAGATTTGAAGGTCTAGTAATGATAGCCTGTTCCGGAATCAAACATTTATTTAAGTTCGCTTGGTTCATAATAATGACGTCAAGCTTGCTGCTCATGTCGTCTAAGTTCTTTTTCAATGTTATAAAATGTTGATCAAAATCTGAAAATATATATGTAAACATAAAATGACAAATTATTAAATATA